TACCAAAAGTTCTGGGTTTAGCACATCTAAAGATTTAAAGACTTAGCAGTTAACATCTTAAACACCTAGGTTGGGCTCCCCTTCAGCCAAGGGATTAGTCAGGAGCAACAACCCTGCAGGACTCTGCCAAAAAAAAAAAAAAACCATTCCCCAGCACAGCTGCCCTGTTATACTGGGTGTGAGCTGCAGAGGGAGGGTAGCCAGAGGGCAGAGAGGCACTGAGAAAAGGGAGGCAGCGATGCCTAGGGAGAAGGGAGACAGACATTCTAAACAGAGACCAAATGATGAGAAGGACCAAGATGAAATGCAGTGGTTTGGATGAGGTGTTCCCCACAGGCTTGGCCATCTGATATTTGCTTCCTCCGTTGGTAGTACTGCTGGACAAAGCTTGGGAGGTGCGGGCCCTGCTGGGATAAGTGTGTCACTGGGGTGGGCTTTGGGAGTACCAAGACTGGCACCAGTCCCAGTGTGATCGCTAATTCTCACTTCCAGTTCAAGATGCGAGCGTTCTGTTTCTGCTCCAGACGCCAGGACTACTGCTTGTTGCCATGCTTCTGTGCCAAGGCCGTCACGGTGGCTTTTATCCCAGCAACAGAAGAGTAACTGATAAGGATGGAGACTGGAGAGGAAAAGGAAAGGGATACAGACGCTCTGAAGCAGAGAAGTTGAGTGTAGAGTCACGCAAGAGACTTACTTTGCACTGAGCCCTATTTTGGACACTCGAGGTACAGAAGTGGATGGCACCAGCCTGGCACAATGGATCGTATTTGTGATCCCAGCCCTTGACGGGCTAAGATGGGAGGATGGAGAATTCATGGCCAGGGTAGTTAAGAGCCCTTGCTTTTATAGAGGGCTCAGGCTCGATTCCCAGCATTAACTTGGCGGCTCACAGCCATCTGTAACTATAGTTCCACAGGGTACGATGCCCTCTTCTGACCTTCCCAGGCACCAGGCACACATGCAAGCAAATCACACACATAAAATAAGTATCTGAAAGAAGAATAAAAAAGATAAAACTGGAGACACAGAGAGAGGGGGAGAGACATGTTGTGGGTGGGGCGATGAAGGAGAAGGAGAAAGAAGATGAAGACAGAAACAGAGGCCGCCAGAGAGAGATAAGCAGGTACAGACAGCAGAGGAACACGGAAATCGGAGGGAGACTGAGAAACGAACTAAAGACAGAGATGCTGAGTCTCTCCCAGAAACAATCAGCCCCAGCCTCTTACAGGGCCCCTACCTTACCCCCCAGGTCTGGGCTCCCTGCCAGGCAGGAAAACTGGATCCAACCGGCAAGGGAGGGGCAGGAAGGTGGACCACATTCCCGAACAGTCTGTCCTCAAGAACTGACAACGGCCCCACCCAGGGGCTACTGGAGGCCTGAGTGTGTCCCTCCAGCCTGTGACCCTAGCACAAGGAGGATAATAAGGGGACTCATCTGCTATCTTGGCCTGGTCTCAGATAGGACCCTCCCGTGGAGCTGGAGACTAGGTGACACAGTAAGAGACTTGGGACCTTGGCAGGGCATGTAAGGCGGAGCCTGGGGACAGAGGTGGCCCAAGTCCTGGGGCAAGGTGTAAGCCGAGCTGCATGTGAGAAGGCACCCAGAAGCTACAAGGCTGGTGGCACCAGGAGCCTAGGGAACAGCAGTAAGCATCAGGGGACAAGTACAGGGACAGTATACAGGCGTCTGGGAACAATGCAAAGAGCCAGGCATAGTGGGGCACACCTTTAATGCCAGCACTTACGAGGCTGAGGCAGGAGGGTCATGGATTTGAAACGTCTGGACTATATGATGAGGGGGAAGTGGGAAGGAGAGTGGCAAGGTGGTTAAGACCATTGGCTGCTCTTCACCCAACCAACCGTGGGTGTTCGATTCCCAACACCCGCTTAGCAGCTCACAATCATTTGTGACTCCATCCAGTTCCAGGGGATCTGATGCCCTCCTCTGGCCTCCCTGAACAGCGGGAACACATATGGTACATAGACATATAGGTAGTCAAAACCCCCATACACATAAAATAGAGAGATGTGTGTGTGTGACAGAGAATATATATATATATATATATATATATATATAGTGTGTGTGTGTGTGTGTGCGTGCGTGTGTGTGTGTGTGTGTGTGTGTGAGAGAGAGAGAGAGAGAGAGAGAGAAGCAATAGAAGTGCCAGGTGTGAGTTTCTAGGGCCTCTGGGCCCAGAGCACAGGCGTGACAGGCCAGTAATCAGGAGCGCATTCAGGAAGCAGGAGATACACCTGTCTGTCATTCCAAGCCTTGTATGGTTCAGAACACAGAGGCCTACAGGTACTGGGGTCTCAGGAGGATGCAGCACCTGGCTAAGTATCTACATGAACAGCCTGCCCTGGAGCACACACACACACACACACACACACACACACACACACACACACACGGGGGGGGGGGTAGTTATTGCACCTGGAGAACAGATGTGAGGAGAGCTAGAAGTATTCCTGGGTGCAGGGTGGAGATGTGAGTTTAGGCATCAGGGAACAGAGAAGCCCCAGACACTCACCCCTCCCACACCGGTCTCCGCCCGCTTCTTCCCCCCTCCCCCCTTAAAATTCTCTGCAAATCAAACAGCTGCCAAGGGCTCCAGGCATCGAGAATCTCAGACACGATGGCCACCTGCGTGGCAGCGCTGCTGCTGCCAATTCTAACGCTGATGCTTGTTTGGGGAGGTTGGGTGGTGGGCTGAGCTCAGCTGCAGAGTTTTACCCCCTGGGCTCGAGCCGCTGCCCTTGCTGGGGAACTTGCTACAGGTGCAGTCTGGACGCCTGGACCGTGTGCTCCTGGAGGTAGCTCCTGCGGTGGGTTGGGAGAGCAGAGCTCTGGATTTGGGAAGGAGCTACTGTGCCAAAAGAGGGGGTAGGAATCCTGGTTCACCGAAAGGCAACAGCTGAGGATAGGGAGCCTGGACCCGTGTCTGGAGGGAGGAGGGTGGGGCCGGACCCGTGTCTGGAGGGAGGAGGGTGGGGCCGGACCCTTGTGTCTGAGGGAGGAGAGCTGTGGCTGGATCCCTTAGTCCGAGAGCAGAGGACTAGGGTCTAGACCCCTGTGTCTGAGAACTGGGGCCTAGACTTCTGGGTCTAAAAAGAGAGTAGGGGTTTAGAATTCCTGAACCAGTGAAATGAGGGACCGAGACGGAAACTTGGGTCTGAGGAAGATGAGGACTCTGAGGTCTGCACGGAGATCAGAAGCCTGGGCTGAGTCCCATAGCTCTCCAGCAGTGCTCACTGCGTGGCTGGGCCTGTGCCCAGCAGTGGTGCTGTGTGGCTACAAGGCACTACCGGATGCATTAGTGCGGCAGGCGGATGCATTCTCCGGCTGTGGGGCCATGCTGTCTTGGAACGCTTCACCCACAGAAACGGTGAGGCCCAGGGTGAAGGAAGGGAATGCAGGGCAATCCGGGCAAGATGGGCAGGCCCCAGTAGAGACCGCCGCTAATGAGGGCGAACCTTTAGGCTGAGGTTCAATCTCCGTTCACAACACAGCCAACAGGAGCCTAAGTACCTAAGCCCTAGCGAGCAAGCGCTGGTCAGGAATCAGACCCGCAAAGGCAGGTCACTGCACATGGGCTGGGAAACCAGCAAGGCAATTTAGAAGTCCTGAGAGTGGCGAGCGACTGGGCCCTGTGCGGCCAACTTGAATTTTGGTTCCCACTGTAGGCATAGTGTTTCTAATGGTTGCACTTGGGGTGCTGTGGGAGCATGGTGTGGGTACGAGGACCATCGAAGATCACATCCTGGAGAAGGCAGCATGTGTCCTGGATGAATTTTAAGCCACCATGGGTGCGGCCTGGCAGAGAAAGACTAAGTACCTGGTTGGGGGGTGGGGTAGGAAGTGACTGATGGATCATCAAAATGCTCTGGGTGCAATGCAGATCCCAAGAAGCTGGGTGGAGGGCCACAGCTTCTGTATGAGAGTATCAAAGCTCTTATTCAGAGGTTTGAAAGTAAGGGTTCGCCTCCACAGGTCTTTCTATCCTTAGGGGACCACACTTATTACCCACAGCTGATCTCACCCCCAGGAGGTCCATTTAACTCCCGGCAGCTATTGGAAAATACTGTAATCAATGTCATTTTCTTCTGTGGTCTTCAGAAGTGCCATAACTATGGGCACCTGGAGTCCCTGAGGCTCCTGGGCCTCTTCAGTGACAATTTCCGCATCATGAATTCCCAATGGGGTGAGGTGAGAGGATGGGCTCCAGTTTTTGCCCTTTAGGAACAGCCTGTGTCAAACCCCAGGGGCATAAGTACCCTACCTGCAGTGGCTTATTAAGATGAAGTCTCAAGACTGTGGATTGAATGATAGAGTTCTATAACCCACAAAATCCTCATTTAATCTCCCCATTGGGAAATCCAAGGCCTTATTAAGACTATTTCAGCAGGGGGTGGTGGCACATGCCTTTGATCCCAGCACTGGGAATCACTAACAAAAAACAGAATAGAGTGGGTCTTGGTAAGATGCTCACACTAAGTCTGTGTGACCGCCCCCCAAGGGCACATTCCCCTGCTTGTGTCTGCACACCGGGATCCCATGCAACTCAAGGACCCCCATTTCACTCCCACCAATTTCCTGGATGCCCAGGCCCAGTTCCAGAACGATGCCTTCATGCCTTTTGCCCCAGGTCTGGGCCAGGTGGAAGGGAACCCAAGTGGCTAACGATGGGGCACTGGCAGGAGTTGCTAGCTCATCCCTCACCTGCACCCATGTCCACGGGGAAGTGGGTGTGCCTGGGTGCTGGCCTGGCCCGCTCTGACAGACATCTTCCCAGTATTCACTGCCATCCTGCAGAATTCTGCCTGCTCCCTGTGGGAAGTCCCGACGACAACCTTACTCCACAGTGCACTGGTCTGGCCAACGTGCCACCAGCCTTCCGGCTCCACCTGGTGGCCCGCTGAGGTTGGGCTCCAATACCCAGATCTCCTTAGCTGCCCTAACTGTATGTGTCAATCTCTTTACTGAGAGGAACACACGTGTCTGCAGCTCTGAGGTAAACTTTTATTTCTTGGCTGGCAGGACCTCCATACCCATGCTCCTCATGGCACCTTACTCTGCCCAAGCAGTGGCAGCCCAGTCCATAAAGTGCCTAGCCAAAGGGGTTGGGGAGTCACTTCACATCCAGGCTGGAGGGGTGGGACCTTTGCCAGCAAGAGGCCATGACTCACCTCAACCCCAAATCCTGCCTCCTCTCAGCTCAACAAGCAATGGACCAGACATGGCAGGACAGCAGCCACTGCCTAGGTCACAACCCAGCCCCGATCGTCGGGCAGCAGAGGCCTCTCCTTGTTGGTCCTCGGTGACGCTTATACCCTCCACAGCACGCAGTACGGAGGCAAGCCAGAAGCAGCAGCAGCGCAGGGAAAGGCGGGCACTGAGGCTAGTGAGCTGCAGCTGGGCCCGGGCTCCCCTGAAGGCAGGGAGCTGCTGATCCACACAACTCTGGGCTGGCCATTAGGTGGGTGTAGTCGGCTGTGATACAGGAACCTGGACACCTTTCTGTCCCGACGCTGAGGATGAAAGGAAGACGAGACCCTGAATCACTAGGAAGGGGCAGAGAAACCAAAAGAACGTTGGGGAGGAGGAGAAAACTGAGGGGGGAAGGGGAGAACTGAGGGGGGATGGGGAGAAAACTGAGGGGGATGGGGAGAAAACTGAGGGGGGGGGGAGGAGAAAACTGAGGGGGAGGGGGAGAAAACTGAGGGGGGAGGGGGAGAAAACTGAGGGGGGATGGGGGAGAAAACTGAGGGGGGATGGGGGAGAAAACTGAGGGGGGAGGAGAAAACTGAGGGGGAGGAGAAAACTGAGGGGGGAGGGAGGAGAAAACTGAGGGGGGATGGGGGAGAAAACTGAGGGGGGATGGGGGAGAAAACTGAGGGGGGATGGGGGAGAAAACTGAGGGGGGATGGGGAGAAAACTGAGGGGGGAGGAGGAGAAAACTGAGGGGGGATGGGGAGAAAACTGAGGGGGGATGGGGAGAAAACTGAGGGGGGATGGGGGAAAAAACTGAGGGGGGAGGAGGAGAAAACTGAGGGGGGATGGGGAGAAAACTGAGGGGGGATGGGGAGAAAACTGAGGGGGGGATGGGGAGAAAACTGAGGGGGGAGGAGAAAACTGAGGGGGGAGGAGAAAACTGAGGGGGGAGGAGGAGAAAAACTGAGGGGGGATGGGGAGAAAACTGAGGGGGAGGAGGAGAAAACTGAGGGGGGATGGGGAGAAAACTGAGGGGGAGGAGGAGAAAACTGAGGGGGGATGGGGAGAAAACTGAGGGGGAGGAGAAAACTGAGGGGGGAGGAGGAGAAAACTGAGGGGGAGGAGGGAGAAAACTGAGGGGGGATAGGGAGAAAACTGAGGGGGGAGGAGGAGAAAACTGAGGGGGAGGGGGAGAAAACTGAGGGGGGATGGGGAGAAAACTGAGGGGGGATGGGGAGAAAACTGAGGGGGGGATGGGGAGAAAACTGAGGGGGAGGAGGAGAAAACTGAGGGGGGATGGGGAGAAAACTGAGGGGGGATGGGGGAAAAACTGAGGGGGAGGAGGAGAAAACTGAGGGGGGATGGGGAGAAAACTGAGGGGGAGGAGGAGGAGAAAACTGAGGGGGGATGGGGAAAAACTGAGGGGGGAGGAGAAAACTGAGGGGGGATGGGGGAGAAAACTGAGGGGGGAGGAGAAAACTGAGGGGGGGATGGGGGGAGAAAACTGAGGGGGAGGAGAAAACTGAGGGGGGGAGGGGGAGAAAACTGAGGGGGGAGGAGGGAGAAAACTGAGGGGGGAGGAGAAAACTGAGGGCGGGATGGGGAGAAAACTGAGGGCGGGATGGGGAGAAAACTGAGGGGGAGGGAGAAAACTGAGGGGGGGGGGAGAAAACTGAGGGGGGAGGGGGAAAAAACTGAGGGGGGTGGGGAAGAAAACTGAGGGGGGGAGGAGGAGAAAACTGAGGGGGGGATGGGGAGAAAACTGAGGGGGGAGGAGGAGAAAACTGAGGGGGGATGGGGGAGAAAACTGAGGGGGGAGGAGGGGAGAAAACTGAGGGCGGGATGGGGAGAAAACTGAGGGGGGATGGGGGAGAAAACTGAGAGGGGAGGAGAAAACTGGAGGGGAGAAAACTGAGGGGGGAGGGAGAAAACTGAGGGGGAGGAGAAAACTGAGGGGGGATGGGGAGAAAACTGAGGGGGGAGGAGAAAACTGAGGGGGGGATGGGGGAGAAAACTGAGGGGGGAGGAGGAGAAAACTGAGGGGGGGATGGGGAGAAAACTGAGGGGGAGGAGAAAACTGAGGGGGGAGGAGAAAACTGAGGGGGGATGGGGAGAAAACTGAGGGGGGATGGGGAGAAAACTGAGGGGGGAGGAGAAAACTGAGGGGGGGATGGGGAGAAAACTGAGGGGGGAGGAGGAGAAAACTGAGGGGGGATGGGGAGAAAACTGAGGGGGGAGGAGAAAATTGAGGGGGGGATGGGGAGAAAACTGAGGGGGAGGGGGACAAAACTGAGGGGGGGTGGGGAGAAAACTGAGGGGGGAGGGGGAGAAAACTGAGGGGGGAGGGGGAGAAAGCTGAGGGGGGCCTCTTTTGGGCAGGAGGCGCCAGGAAAGCAGGCAAGTGAGAGGGCCATGGATAGGGCTGCCGGCAGTGCTTGCCTAGTGTGCCAAAGGCCCTGGCACCACTCAGCGCCAGAAGAAAGGGTAAGGACTGAGGCCTGCAGCGCACAGGGTCTAGGAAGGATAAAGAACGCAAACGGGTACCTAGCTGATACTTGTCTCTGGCTGCTGCCCGCTCCTTGGCATCAAAATACCAGACAGTGATGGCGTACCTAGGAAACCAGGCAGTTAGAGTCTGTTTTCTGCATTTCTAGTTGCCACGTGCGGTGACACCTCCACCCTTTTAGGCCACTTGATTCTGGATCCCACTTGGGTCCTCTCAGCATCTTGTCAATCCCCTACCACTCTGACGGTTGGGGGAAATCTAGGAAATCTCTGGCACAGGGGAAGCAGCTGGGCACATTCCTAAAGTACAGGTCATACCTGGTGGCATAGGCTGGTTTCACCTCATGTGGGTTCCGTCGGTCAGACCAGAAAATGAGCAACCGGTCAAAGAGTGGCTCGATGTTGGCTACCACTGGCCGACCCTCAGGGAAGATCTGCAGCAGGCCACCATGCACCTGGGGGGCAGGCCAGATAAGGCTACTGGTGAAGCCTGTAGCCTCTGCCTTACACTGCACCCACACGCCCACCAGGGGGAGCACTAGCTCGCATTACTCCCTGCCACCACTCAGGCGCTTAAGATGAATGGCAGCCCAGAGTCTACATTACCATGGAGATGGGCAGGAAGCTACTAAAGACAGGAAGTGTGTGTGTGTGTGTGGGGGGGGGTTACAAGTCTAGGTGGGGCTAAGGACAGCACCATTCCCGGAAAGTAGGGAGGGCCCACAGTCAGCTGAAGAGGAGCCTGTAGATCTCACTGCCCTGTGAGCTGAGGAGTGGAGGACAGGGTCCCAGCTGGAAGATAAGCATAGCATCCCAACCCCCAAACCCTACCTTGACATCCCAGTTCTGATTCAGGTAATAGATACAGGTGATGCAGCGCCCATCTCCATGAGGGTTGTCAACATGCCTCACGTACCCAAGCCCATTGCCTGGGTAACACGCCACCATGGCCTGGTGGAAATGGAGGAAAGGGGTTTACTGAGACCACAGGGACCCCTTGAGGAAGCAGGCTTCAACACTCCTGCCCCTGGTCTGTCCTGGACCACTTTAGGCTATGTGAGCTACAGCGCAGGAGACTTTTCCTGAATCCAGCCACACTCCATTCTCTCCGGCCTCAACAATCCACGCTCCCACCTCCATCCCCAGCCCAGAAGCAGAGGGACTCAATGTGTAAACCATGGCTTATAGTTTCTGAAGAAATCCTAACCCTAGCCAGGTGTAGAGGAGCATGGTGCACACCTGTGATTCTAGCACTTAGCAGGTAGAAGGAGAAACACAGGTTTGAGGTCAGCTTCAACTACTCAGTGAGAGCACAGAATCTCCCAGTGAGTTCTGAGAAATGGAGGCTCCATGGGGAATTCTAACGTGAGGTCATGCTGACAACTGCTACACTCGACTAGATACTCCAACTACATAATCCGTCCCATACACACCTGACAAGAACCTGACCTAGAGTTCCAGCTCCAAGCACCCTGCACACTGCTGGCAGACCGGTGCCAGAGCAGCCCTCACGCTCCCGCTGTAAACGGGCTGACAAACCTTCCGTCCCCAACAGTAACTACTCTTGAGACACGGTGTTGCCAGCATCTCAGAGGCAGGCCTCTGTCAGGCTTGGTTTCTGTGGACGAAGATCTGGCCAAAGTTCCAGATTCCCCTGCATCTCAACCAGGCAGCCAGGGCCCTATCAGGACAAGGTCCAGCCGCCTGTGCAGACCCAATCCACAGGGCCAAGTGCCTGCAGTGAGTGGGCTGTGGCCCTGGGGAAGTAAATTAGGTAACACCGCTTCACCTCACAGGCTGCTGTGAGAAGGGGACCGATCATGAGTTATCACAAAGACACACTGCCTGTTGCCACAGGATAGAGAACTGGAGCACAAGCTGAAATGCCGGCCCTCTACCCAAACCCACTGGGAGAGTGCATACTAAGCACAAGCCCTTTGGTTTTTGCCCACCCAGCAACCATCTGACTTGAGCCTGCCATCCAGGTACCCCTGGTTCTTGGATGGACAGCCTGACAAACACCCACAAACACCAGCCAAGTGTGCGCCTTTCCTGAAAAGGTCTATGGCTTCTGGCAGATCATCTGACAAGTCTTGGCTCCAAAAATGTCAACAACTACCATTCTGCAAGAAGACAAGGGAACGGAGAGGAAAAACATAAAGGCAGAGTGTCAAGGAAAGGGACCAGAGGAAAGCAGGTAGGACGTGACCAATGGGGAAGGATGTGGACAAGGGCTCTACCTGGGCCAGCACACTGTCACACGGTGTCACCTCCAGGAAGTTGCTCTTGACGCAGATGCCAAGAGTAGGCTCACAGGGCAGAATGTCGCCCAGGCCAGGTGCTCAACTAGACAAGCAGCACGCCATCTTCAGCCTAGGCTACCTCAGCATTGCCACCCTTCCCTTCCCCTCCCGGCCTGCCATCTTCGCACCAGCAGACAAGAACACACGACCTTAACCACCCTCGGCCTAAGGTAGGTTAAGACAGCAAAGCAAGCAGCTCCTGTCTCTCAAGGGCAAGGGCCGCTCCACTCCGGGCTGAACTACTTTTAAGGTACAAAAATCAGAGCCCAGTGGGCGGATGTAACTGTAGGCCCCCTACAGGGTGGAGCTGCCTACACAATTCCACAGAACCCCAGAAACCTGTCTCCAAACCCACATGCCGGAGCACTAGGCACTCACCAAAACAGTGCCTTACCTTGGTGCGCCCATTGATGACGTAGTTGCCCAGCCGCCCTGCACAGTGGCGGATTACTGTGTCCACATGAGCCATGAGGGCACCAATGCTCCTGCAGCCCGGCTCGTGGCCTTCCACCCAGGCAATCTGGTCCCCACGAATGCTGCGCGGTGGGATGGCCCGCTGGCTCACTAGCTGCCCATCGCGCAGGCGCCCGCCCCACTTCAGGGCCTCCACCTCAGCCAGCACGCGGCCACCCAGTGTGGCCCCCAAGAAGTTGTCCTTGACGCAGATACCATAGTACCGCATGCAAGGCACAATGTAGTCCAGGGCCAGGCGCTCAGGGGCAGAGGGCTGGGCGCCCTCCCTCAGCCTAGCACCTGCCTCGCCGCTGCCAGTGCCGCTGCCGCAGCCCACGTCACTTTCCCCCTGGGCTCCCTGGTTCTCTGGCCGGGCCCACGGTCGCTTGCTGGGTAAAGGGGCGTCCCCACCATCCTTGGCCCACTTGCGCTTGGGGGCCTCAGGCCGGGCACCCTGGGCCGCCAGTCGCTGGCACTCCTTGGTGACCAGCGCGGCAGCACCTTCACTCTGCAGTGGCCACAGTTCGCCACCATCCTGCCCACCAAAGCCCTCCCGAAGGGGGCTGGCAGTGGTAGCGGTGGCTGTGGTTCTGGGAGTCCCACTGCCAGCCGAGGCCTCACCAGATGCTCCTGGGTGGCGGTAGGAGGGTAGCAGAGGGCAGGGCAGGTAACTCTCCACCCCCATTCTGGCTCGGCTAGGCTCCAAGGACTCTGACACAGACCCTGGCAACTGAGGGAGAGACTGATTCAGGGCCTGCGGCTGGCACGGGCTGTCCATGGTAGCAATGTCTTCATCCCCCGGGCATGGAGGGCACGGCCCGGGCCCATGGTGCCACCCTCCTCCGCCTTTTCCTCCTCCTCCACTTGATGCAGCCCGGGGCCGCTGGGCCTGGTGTGGGGCAGGGTGAGGCAGGGCAGGCAGCAGGGGCTCCTCTCGTGCCCCGGGGGTGCTCGCTGGTCCCCAAGTCCACAGTTGTCCCTAGGAGCTTGAGACGGGACTGGTGGGGGTGGCTAGAAGAGAGAAAAACAAGGACTTAAGAGGAGTTAGAGACAAGCAGGTGGGAAGGGGTGGAGGTGTACCAGCCGTAAGCAGATGACACATCCACGGCAAACACGTAACACACACTGAGGCAAGATGGGGCGCAGAACCTGGGAATCTGAGAGCGAGCGGCTGGCAGACAGAGGACCACAGGGAAAGTGCAGAGGAAAAGCTCTGCAAGCAAGGCCCAGGGGGAGGAAGGCAGTAACACCAAAGAGATCTGAGCAAGAAAAGCGACAGTGAGAAGCGGGAGACGGGTACCTGCCTGAGGGTCCCATAGAGACTCGGAGAGACGAGAATGACACACAAAACGGGACCGAGGAGTGGAGGGTAGAGTCGGGGCTGTGGGGAGCCAGCGGGCACTGCCGCCGCGCACCATCTGCGGGAACCAGATCGCCCGAGTGGGAGGCCGGGGCCAGGGCAGGCGGGGGGACCGGGAGTCCGGGGACAAAGAGCAGGGAGGAAAACAAGACGGCGGGGGGCGGGAGGGCCGCTGGGGTCGACCTGTGCCCTACGGGAGGAAGCCTAGGGGGCCCACACACACCCAGACGGAAGGGAGGTCCGGCCGGACAGACGGACGGACGGGAGGAGGCCGGGCGGAGGGTCGGACCCGACGGCGCCCTCCCTCCCAGCCCTCCGCCGCGGCCCCGCCCCGGCCCCGCCCCTCGGCGCTGGCCGCGCGCCCCCGCCGCCCCCGATGCCCCGCCCCGCCGCGCCGGGTGCGCGCTCCCCTCCCCACCCCCACCCGCCCGGCGCGGGGTCGCCGCCCCGCGCCCGCCCGCCCGCCCTCGGGCCCTTCCTCCTCCCCGGGCCCTTCCCTTCGCACGACCCTCCTCACCGAGCTTTTTCCTCCGGCCCCGGCGCCGCCGTCTGTGCCAGCCGCCCTGCGCCTCACCGCGCGCCATGCCCCGCCCCCCGCCGCCGCCCCGCCCCCGCCCGGCCGGCACGTGACCGCGGCCCGGCCGAGGGGGCTGCGCATGCGCGAGCAGGACGTGGCCAGGCGCCTCGGGACGCCCTGCGGGAGGAGAGCCGGGACAGGGCGCAAGGCTCGTTTGCATCGTGCGCCCCGCCCCCCCCCCCATGCCAAAAGACCGGAACGCGGACTCGGGAAAAGGCGTCCTGTGAGCTTGTAAGACGGCCGCTCAGAGGTCGGGGGGCAGATGAGGCCTCTGACGTGGAAAGGCGCACCCCGAAGAGCAGAAGGTGCCAGAGGACGGCTAGTGGCTGGGCTGTTGCTGTTTGCTATGCAAATATTTCATTTACATAGGCAGCTCCTCCACACAACCCGAGAGAGGATATTGAGAAATGACTGCGCAGTTAGTTGGAAAGTGTATGTAAATTCCTACGTCAGTAATTTACATAAGCGCTTACAAAAAAAAAAATAACGGTGAGTACGGGATGTCCTTAGAGAAGCGAAGAATGAGCAAATATGTACTATTTACATGACCCTCTCCGCGCTGCTCCCTCAGGGCAACGTGGGAGTCAGATTAAGCCACCTGGGACAGCCTCCTCATGGAGAAGACCTTTGGAAAACCCGGCTCTTCTATAGTCCAGGCAGATTATTTTTTGTTTGTTTATGCAGTACTGGGAACTGAATCCAGAGCTTCGCACACGCAACGCTCTACCATGAGCTACACACAACGTTGATGCCACTGTTCCTGGGAGGGCTATGTGGACAGGCTTACTTGAATGCCCCCATCCCTTCCACCAGTCCCTGGGCCTTCCAGGTGGACAATCAATGGGTTGTCGACATTTTGGGAGAGCAGCTGAAGCTGTCCCGAGGTGGCTGCACTAATCCCCAAAAGCCCATATAAAGATTTCAGGGCACGAGGAGACACACATCAGCAAAATGAGCAGGAGTCCGGGTTACAAAAAAAAAAAAAAAAAAAAAAAAAGCCACAAAAATAAAAACAAAGAAACCCACATTGGCACAAAGAGGAAGTTTACACACACACACACACACACACACACACCACAGCACACACAAATCTCAGGAGCACTTGTTCCCAGGAACACACAGTGAGCCACTGTCCCTGCAGACAGGAGACATATATATAGGAATTGAACCAGGCCCAGGGTCAAGCCCCCTTATAGTTTCCAATTCCTTGGTCTTGTTGCACACAACAGCAGCCTCACAAACACAGTCTCCAGGACAAACCACTCATGTGCCACAGAATCACTTGTCCCCACTAAGACTGCCCCATACACAAATCCCAGACACACACACACACACCCACACTCCACATGCCAGCTTGGATCGATTGTGCACTGCCATGCAGTATGTACACAAGCTGGGCATACACTTGTGACCCCAGCATGTGGGAGGTTAAGGCAGGGAGACTTCAAATTCCAGGTTAGTCTGGGCTATAACAAGGCCCCGTGTAAAAAAAAAAAAAGGGGGGGGGTGTAGGAGAAACCAAAGACAGATACACAATGACAAACCCTGGTCTCAGTGAGATGTGTATACCCCAATATGTCCACAAACCGAGCCCCACCAGAAACATGGTCCCTCGCACAAAGACCCACTCATATTACTTCCATTAAGGACCTCTTCTGTCTCCTCATCTCAGAATGACAGAGACCAGAACACAGGTGTAAACGATGCTTTATGGAGGGCCGGGACAGAATGGAGCAGGCCTCCAGGTAATAAATAACACAGACTTGCAACAGCAGGGCCAGGCAGGAAGGAGGGGCCAGGAGGCCCTGGTCTCGAGCTCTGGGAGTTCTTCAGGTATGGTTAGGGGCTCAGGAGGAATAGAATTAGCCAAGTCAGAGGACACAGCAGCAGGTATGGGTTCCCCCTTCCCCTCTGGCTCAATCTTGCCCCAAAGCCAGGCCCCACCAGGCCAGGGAAGGGATGGGTGATGGGCCAGCTTTTCTGGGGCTGGGGCAGATTGGGGCCTAGCCTTTTGGGGCCTGGTTCTGGGCCCCAGCCTTCGGGCAGGGCTGGTCCAGGAGAACAGGTGAGCTGAAAGAGAAGGGTATTATGACCTGGAGGGGTTCTGGGTCTGTCTAGCTAGACTCTCATCTCCTTGCTAAGGATCTTCAGGCTCTGTGTCCATCTGTACCCTTTTTCTTTCCCAGTCTATGCACTGTCTGACACTGTTGGCCTCTGCAGGGTTACACAGGGTCTCATTCTCTGAACATCTCCCTGTTTGCCTCAGATAGCTGTATGCGTCTGTAAAGGGACACTTTGTTATCTAACAACCATGGCCCTTGCCAGGTGATGGTCCACACATAGAAACCCAGTATTGAGAGGTACAGACAGGAGATGATGAGTCTGAGGCCAGCCTGAGGTACATAGTGAGGACCTATCTCAAAAACACAAAACATGACAGGCAGTGGTGGTACATGCCTTCTAGCACTCAGAAGGCAGAAGCAGGTGGATCTCTGTGAGCTTGAGGCCAGCCTGGTCTACAGAGTGAATCCCAGGACGGCAAGGGCTACACAGAGAAACCCTGTTTCTAAAAAAAAAAAAAAAAAAAAAAAAAAAAAAAAAAACAAAACCAGAAACAACATAAAAAGGAAAATCCCAACACAAATCATAAACTAAATACATGTCCCCACCTTTGTAAATGTTTGTGTCCCTTTTTATCCCTAATGGTCCAGGCTAAGCCTCATTCCAATGCTTTTCAAACTGGAGAGATAGAATACATTAGTGGTCACAGCTTTGACTGCTTACGGCACTACCTAGGCATGTCTAGAAATTATCTGACGTAAATCCTGGCACCAGTATGTTGTAATCCTTCTTCCCACCTTATTCTAATGGGTGCTATTTTAAGAGAGGGCAATGTTGGTAGGCCCAGACTAACTTTTTGTCTAAATGAAGTAAAATCAGAGGGTACGGTGGCTCATACCTATAATCCCAGCACTCAGGAAGTAAATTAGAGGCCTCGAGTTACAAGCCTGTGTTACATACTCTCAAAAAAAGAAGAAAAAGAAAAAAGCAAAATGCAGCTCAACTCTCAGCTGGTATTGCTTGCTTAGCCTGCATGTGGCCCTGGGTTCCATCCTCAGCACTCCATAAATTCAGTGCAGTACTGTAATTCCAGCACTTGAGAGGTAAAAGCTAAAGGATCAGAAGTTCTAGGTCACCCTTGACTATTACTACATAGTTAAGTCTGAGGCCAGCCTGAGCTGTATGTTTCGGAGTTTAAAACAAAAAAAAAAGAGGAAGAGGAGGAAAGGCTTCGTGCTGTGCAGGGACAATATACTTTTCTTATAAAACTTTTAGAATAAAAGGAAACATTAGGCCAACATGGTCGCACTCTACTCCCAACACCGAAGAGGCAAAGCAGGAGGATCTCTGTGAGTTCTCGGTCAGCCTGGTCTACAGAGTCAGTTCCAGGACAGCCAGAGCTATGTAGAGAGACCCTGTCTCAAAAATAATATAAGATTTATTGGTAACCAGGCATGGTGGTACAACTTAGAATCTTAGCCCTTAAAAGGCTAAGGCAAGAGGACTGATGCAAGTTTGAGGCTATCCTGGGGTATATACAAGTTCCATGTTAGCCTGAACTACATAGCAAGACCCCTCCCAAAAAAATTAATACCAAAGGGAGGTTTTTAAAAAAGTAAAAGGAATTTTCTTTGAGTTTCTCTGTAAGTGTGACTATGATGGATAAGTATATGATATAATGGTCAACAGAGTCTGTACACGCATTGGTTACAGGTGACCCACTGTGGAAACTGTGGAAAAGACACTATGCTAATTTCTGGGACACCCGTTTATCTCCACAAGGCCAAATGTTCCTTTTGCTTTGTTTTGTTATTTTTTTGTGGTGCCAGGGACCACACCCAAGAAGGCCACCCGCATGTGAGGCAAACACCCTACTACTGAGCTACACAGCCAACACACATATCCTCCCTGAGTCTTTAAGACGGGCAAAAAGCAAAGTGGCGAACAGCCCTGCGGATCAAGCTTTCAGCAAGTGTTAGGTTCTGCTCTAAACACTCTACATGTCACTCTCCTCCACACCCATGAGGACCAATAACTGACCCCACTCTACAGACTCGGGGTTAGGAAACAGGCTCAGACCAGCATGTGCAGAGACTAAGAACACTGTCTAAAGGGCTCACCTGGGACTTTTCTCTCTTTCAAATCCTATGATGGTCTGGGCTGGAGAGATGGCTCAGTGGTTAAGAGCACTGGCTGCTCTTCTAGAGGACCCAGATTCAATTCCCAGCGCCCACATGGCAGCTCACAACTGTCTGTAACTCAGATCCAAATCTAAGGATTTTCCCCCATAGCATCCTAGACCTGCCAGCAGCTGGGAAGGGATGGGAGGGGGTAGACTTCCTAAAATACAGAGGGAGAATTAGCAAGGACACCGATAGTCACCGAGGTAAGAAGGGACCAGGCCCTGCAGGTCCTGCAGGTCTGTCAAGGAGTCTGGACCATGCATGGAAAAACCAACAAGGCTTCTGGAGGGGGAGGAGGTTACCAGGGCAAAGGGGAAGAAAACACAGGCTGGAAAATAAGACCCAAAGAAACAAAGAACTTTCTGTGACTGGGGCACTCAAAGGAGTAGGGAAATATGTAAGAGCTGTTTGCGGGCAGGGAGACAGGGTCCAGGCCTTGCAGAGGGTCAAGCACCAGGCTCAACAGCTTCAGCAGAGTCCTATGGACCCCAAGAGCCATGAACAGGTCTCAAGAAGGGACATGAATGAGCTTTAGACAGAGCCACTGACTGCCACATAAGAAGTTGGGACTGGAGAGAGGGAGATTAGGAAGAGAGAACCTAGCCACTTCTCGGTGCTCCTTCTACTTCCCTATGCCCAGCAAGGGATGCATCTCAGGCTGGCCTCCAACTCGCTCCCATGACCACCACCAGTTAACACAGCTCAGCATGGAAGCTGGTGTATGCACACTAGGCAAGCACCCTCCTCACACCAGTCCCCAGCACCCCCTTCCCCAGCATCCAGCAATCAGCCCTGATCCGTCTCTTCCTTCCATCTAGCTAGAGGAATCCTGTGATGCTGGGAGTCTAATCCTCTCCCTCCTCCACTCAGAGGTCCCCTCTGGCTACTGTAGCATCCAGGGTACAGATGAGAGGCCTTCTCAGAGCCTTACAGACTTCCTAGCCAGTTCCCCGACCCCATGCTGTACCCCCAGTGCACACACACACCCCTGCTTGGCCACGCCATGAGTGGTCCTACGCCAGGACCTCTGCACGCACTTTTCACCTGCCCTCTGTGACTCCCCTGCTCTGGATTTTCACTTTAATGTCACCTTCTTGGGTGTCCTATTTAAAAGGGCATTCTGCATTCTAACCACCCTATCAGACTGTTTTTCTCCATGCTCTTTGCCCCTAACTACTATATAATTTATGTAAGTACCTCATCTATGGTATTTCTCCCAAGGCAATGTAGGTACGGTACAAACAAGGATTTTTTTTTTGTCTGGTTGGTTTGTGTCTGTTCTACCCACTGCTGTTTCCCTAGAGGTGTCACCAGGCCTGAGCACACAACATGGGTTCATTACGCCAGTGAGAACCATGAATGAAGGGTCAAGTGTAAGCTGAGGCTGGCAGCGGTCTGGAGTGCAGAGGGCCCCTTGGTCCCCTGGGGCTGGGAAAGTGGCTCCTTTGCTTCGTGAGCTTTTGTGTCTCTCTTTGTCACCGTTTTTCTTGTCCTGTTTTCCAGGTCTTGATGGCTGTTCTGTGCCCTGTCCCGCCCAATACGAAAAGCCCTCTTGCCTCCTGAGCCCCCAGCATCCCACCTGGCTCTGCAGGTCTCAGCAGCCACAGGGCTGAGGGGCCACGGCCTGGGCGCTGCGAGGCTGCCGCAGCTGTCGAAGGGATACATCACCGTACTGAATTCCTGAGCCCATCCTCTCGGGGTCTAGTTCACCTGTGGTTGGGGAGAAGCCAGAAGTGTTCCTCGGTGGCCAGGCCACGGAGACGGCCTTTAACCAGCCCCGGCCCCCCAATCTCTCACACGGAGCAGATGGGCCTCACCTGAGTCGATCTTATTGAGGATGGTGCGCGCGCACTTCAGGAAGGCTTCTTCCACGTTCTCACCCGTGAGAGCGCTGGTCTCCAGGAACATCAGCTCTGGAGGGGCAGGGCCTCTATCAGTTCCCCCCTCCACTCTGAGTCCCTCAAAAGCTCTACCCATGCTTGCCCTCACCTCGGGCCCTGGACACATCTTCCCCTGCAGGGAATGCTGTCTCCCTACCTACACAACTCATCCACCTCTCCCTTCCCAACTCGGCTCCCACGCCCTTCCCCAGAAAACCCTGATGGCCAGCCTGAGTCAGGACACCCCTCTGGACTCCAAGAGTCTCCTGTGCCTCCCCTGTGCTAGCAGTGACTTCCCTGTGATGTCGCTGTCAGCAAATGGGTCTGCCTCCCTGCCCCTACCCCAGCACTGTGAGCCTCATGAGTTTCTCAGTGACGCCAGACTCACTGAGCACAGTCCTAACCTCCTCAGCTACCCAGAGGTCACATGACAGGGCCTCACACAGAAGTTACCCGTAAGATTCAAACCCACAAAGCCTCTTCTAAACCTGAGGTCTGAAAGGCAGGAGGCCATGAACTGGCCATGCCTGTGCACCCTGAATAGTCGTCATGGAGGCAGAGACCACACAGAATGTCAGGAGAGCTGGGTCAGCCTGGGCAACATAGTGAGTCTGAAGCTAGCCTCTATTCACAAAGCTCCCTCTCTCCACTGCCTCCTGGGATTGCAGGAGACACCTTAAAATCCTGCTTTATGCTGCCTGCCCACTGTGTAGACACCAGCAGCTACCCTGTACCAGGAGCAGCTAAGGGTGTGATGGGCAGTTCCTGTGGCCAGCACACTGCTCATCCTCTTTCTAGCTGAACCTGAAGACCACTCAGTGCTTCAAGTTAGAGGAGGCCTGCTGAAGCCTCCATGCTTAAGGTCCCACCATCCCACCCACAGCTAAGAGGCACGGGGCGGGCCACAGTGGGCTGGCCCATCCCTCCACCCGTCACCTGGTCCACAGCACAGCCCTCACCATTCTCCTGGGCAAAGCGGGAGGCCTCGAGGAAAGTAACCTCACGCTCAGGATCCAGGTCCTTCTTGTTGCCACACAGGATGACCACGATGTTGGGGCTGGCCAGCGTTCGGGCATCAGTCAGCCATGCAGCTAGCGAGTTGTATGTCTCTCGGCTGAGGAGGACAGAAAAGGGAGGCAGCACAGGACTGGGACCATCCATGCCCGGCGTCTCCCCCTCTCCCATGCCACCCAGACCCTGCACCCACCTGGTGATGTCGTACACCAGCAGGGCTCCAGCTGCCCCTCGGTAATAACTCCGCGTCACCGACCTGTGGGGCCAGGGGACCCAGTCACCCCGAAGGCTGGGATCTGCCCCGGGAATTCCCCCCTCTGTGGAGAGAGGCTAATGGTTCGGAACCCCCCCATACCCCTAAAGCCTGACCTTGGTCTTCCTGAGATTTAACTCCTCCGCCTCACAGTCTATCTCAACCATTGTGACCATTTGGGTTTGTTTTTGAGACAGTCTCACTCTCTAGTCCAAGCTGGCCTGAAGCTGACTAAGCAGCCCACCTGGGTTCAGCCACCGCACCCAGGGGCCTGGCACATGCTGGGTCGTGCTCTACCCAGAAGGACACCCCTACCCTTTAGTTTAGTTTACTCTGACGACATGCTAACTTACCCAGGCTGACTCCCAATTCACTGTATCCCAGGCAAGCCTGGGACTTTCTTTCTTTTGTGTACCACAGAGCATATGCAGGGGCCAGAGGACTCTTGTAGGGACTGGTTCTCTCGGGTCCTCGGGTAGACACCAAGCACTTTTCCCCCCTGAGCCATCTCTCAAGAGCACGTCATGAACTTGCAATCCTCCTGCCTAAGCCTTTCAAGGAACTGAAATTATAGGCATCTACCGCCACACCCAGCATCATTTCCCATAATTTCCTTAATTTTCTCTCCTGTCTGTCAGTCTTTCTTACCCTGTCTCTCCCTCCCATGCTCACTTTTGCCTTCCCTCATTCTTCCCTTCAGTGAGTCGGTCAGCATTTTCTCAGTGTCTCCCATCTGCCTGTCCTGGCTACCTGCTAGACAACTTCTACTTGTCTCTCTCTGCTATCTGATGCAGGCCCCCTTTCCTGCGGGGCCAACTCCCTTTATCACCAATTTGGATCCCTCTGGAATGCATGCACTAACTGCAAAACTAGGCCATGTCTCTTTCACCCTCTCCCTGACTCCTGGTTCTACATACCTCCCATAGGCAATCTGCACATGAATTAACTAGCAGCTGCTGTGTGCTGAGGCTAGATTCTCCATGGACTGAATATTCTGTCTGTCTGTCTGCCTGTCTGTCGCTTGCTCTTTCTGTTTCTCACTCTCAGAGTTTCTGTTTCTGCAGACTTACTAGGTGCCCCAGCCTACACATTGCCCACCCTCTGCAATACACTCACCACTCCTTCTCAACTACAGTTGTCCAACCCTTCCAGAACCTCTCTGCTTCTGACCTATTCCTTCAGTGCCCATTCGCCTTCATCTTCTTCTCCCCTGTCTATGTCTCTCCTTCCCTCCAAGGCTGTGAGGTTTCAGTGTCTGTTTTAAGATCCCTCTTCAAGCCAGGAAGAGGTGGTGCACGCCTTTAATCCCAGCATGAAGGAGACAGAGGCAAACAGAGCTCTGTGAGTTCGAGGCCAGCCTGGTCTACAAAGCAAGTTCCAGGACAGCTAGGGCTGTTATATAGAGAAACCCTACCTCAAAAAACCAAGGGGATAAAAAAGAAAGATCCCTCTTCAAACACTACACCACTCCTTGGGGCTGGAGAGATGGCTCAGCAGTTGGTTAATAAGGCTTACTGCTCTTGCAAAGGACATGGGTTACATAGCCAGCACCCAAGTGGCAGTTGACAACTACCTATAGTTCCAGCCCTAGGGTATCTGATACAGTCTTCTGATCTCTGGGGACTCCTGCACACACATAGTACACATGCATGTACTTAGGTATACACACATATTTACTTAATTTAAAAAAAAAAAAACTCTACTCCTTATTTATACCCTTAAGCCTTTTATCTATTTTTTTCTTCTTTCTGTTTCTGAAGATGGCACCAAAGGTATTGCACAAGTTCTGGGGAACTCTAGGCAGGGGCTCTACCACTGAGCCACACCCCACCCCCTCACTGGGGGATTCTAGGCAGGGGCTCTACCCCTGAGCCACGCCCCCAGCCCCTCACTGGGGGATTCTAGGCAGGGGCTCTACCACTGAGCCACGCCCCCAGCCCCTCACTGGGGGATTCTAGGCAGGGGCTCCACCACTGAGCCACGCCCCCAACCCCTCACTGGGGGATTCCAGGCATGGAGTTAGCTCTGAGCACTACTACAAACCAACCTTCCATTTGCTCCCCCTCTCCATCTCTTCTGAATTGGGAATCAAACCCAGGGCCTTACACTACTTAGGCTGGTGCTCTCCCTCTACACTAGATTCCAACCCTTCTTTCTTTCATTCTCACTTTAGTCCAGACTGCTCTCCAACTCACAGTCCTCCTGCCTCAGCCTCCTGTGTGTTTGGGATTGTAGACCTGAACCAACAAGTTCTCTCCAGGACTTCCTCTCTCATCAGATTCGTATGCCCTGTGAACAGAGGGCCTGTCTCTACTTCCTGCCCTGCCCTTTCTGCACCTCCCTGTTCTTTCGTTCCTGAGAGACTCCTCACACCTTGCCCTCCCCTCTCCCTTCCTCAGGAACCCAGGCCACCTACCGAAACCGCTCCTGGCCAGCAGTGTCCCAAATCTGTAACTTCACAGTCTTCCCCCCAACGTTGACCACCCTGGATCCAAACTCCACGCCGATGGTGTGGTTGGAGTCCTGTTTAACTGGGAGTGGGAGGGAAACAGGAGGCAGTGAAGGGGCTCCAGAAATCCCCCCGTCCTGCAGGCCTCCTCCTCCAATTCTGCAACCCAAATCTCACAGCTGGGTTGACAGAGAACTTACCAAAGAGCATCCACCAAGGTCAGAGGCAAACCTACAGCACTAGCTTTACACAAAAATGGTGCCTGCAGACTACCCCACCTACTGCCCACTGACCCACACCATGGCCACATCCACATTTCCAGGTCCTGCCATAAACTCACACTTATTCTCAATGAACTGATGGAGGAGACATGATTTGCCAGTTCCAGCACTGCCAATCACCAGGAATTTGAAGAGGAAGTCTGAGCAGACGGTGCCAAGATCAAGGATACCCACAGGGAGAGAAAGACGGGAAATAAGAGGAAAAATAGGAAGTCAGAAGGAAATATACACACAAAGGCAGAAACAGCCATACATAACGAACAGTAAAACATTGGGTTTTTTTTGTTTTTTTTTTTGTTTAAACATCTACAGTGCTGTAGATAGAACATTAGGGCATCCATCCTGTGTGCTAGGCAAGTATTTTCCACATTGACCCATAACCCAGCCCAAGATGACACTTTTACCCATTATTATTATTATTATTATTATTTTTTTTTTTTTATTGAAACAAAGTTTCCCTATGTATTCCTAGTGAGGATTGACCTAGCTGTCCTCAAATTCCAAGCAATCCTCTTGCCTCAGCCTCTAAAGGAATTCTGGGATTACAGGTATATGCCACTATAGCCTATATTTCTTTCCTTTTTCTTCTAGTCAAGGACTCACTGTGTAGCATCATATGGCCTTGAATTCCAATCCTCCTGCACCAGCCTTCCTACTACTGGGATTACAGAATGTGCCAGCACATTCCACTTTTCTTCCTTTCTTACTTTAAGAATTTTACTCTGTAGTCCAGACAGACCTCCTGCCTCAGTCTCCCAAATGTGAGGATTGCAGCACACAAGATTATTCTTACATAGTACTTACTATATATATGCCCAACACAATCCTAAAATCGTTATGTATGTCCACAGATCATTTAATCCCAAATAAAGATCTAAAGAGGGAAGTATATTAAGTACCCCTACTTTTCAGAGTAGGAGAATGAGGCCAGAAAGGTTAACCAACTTGCCCAAGGCCACACAGCTAGGCAGAACTAAGATTCAGACCCAGACTAAAGTTCTCCACAGTGCAAGACCTTAGCTGATGCATTTCAAAAGCCATTTCAACAATGATTAAATCTGGCCTCCATTCCTCTTTACCTCCTACAACCCTCTCATTCACTCTGTCAAGGCCTCTGACATTTGTCCTATTTCCTAAACTGGTTCCCTCCTCGGGGTCTTTGACTTTTCTATGTGTGTTGAATGAATGTAGCTGCCTCTGATTCTTGTCTGAGGTTTCTACTACCCTCTGATCTCCCTCCACCCACATGATACTGTTCATCCACACTGACTTTCCAACCATGAACCTCTTTCTCCCTATCCTCTGCCCAGAGCATCTGGCCACTATCCTTAAACTTAAGCGGCATCCTTTGACGCTAAGTTTCAAATCTAACTCCAGGACACCACTCCAGACCCCGAGAACCAGATCAGCCCCACGGGACGTGCAGGGTTCACAGCATCTGTGCGAGGGTCTCTCTCTACTGCCATTCACCGTCAGCCCCGCCCTATCCACTCACGCTCCGCCCAGGAAGGACTGCTTCCCTCCTTGAGGCCTAATCCCCTACCCTAATCTACCATCACCGGCTCCCCTCAAATCCCGCCCTAAATCTTTTTAACTCCCACAGCGGTCTCCCAAGCTCCACCCAAATCGACTAAACTCAGCCCCAGACCCACTTAGCCCTGCCCCGCACCGCGGCAGACCCCGCCCCCTGAGCAGAAAGCCCCGCCCCACTTCCACATCCGCATCCTCTACGGGCCCAGCCCCCCCCCTCGAGCCACCAGCCTCACCGTAGGTCTCGGCCATGGCTCGGTGGCGACCGCTGAGGGCCGCAATATGGCGCCGCGGCCGCGCCTGCTCCTCGGCTGGCAGCCGCTCCTCTCGGGCTGCAGCCTCAGCTCCTTTCCACTCCCGGACCCGGCGCCGCCACTTCCGCCTTCACCCCCCCCCACCGCCGCGCGAGCCTCCTGAGCTGCGGATGCCAGGCCACGCTTGCCCAACGCCGGGATTGGCGGACTCGGCAGGCGGTGGGCGGGACCGACCGCGCAGGTTGCAGGCACCAAAGGGGCCGAGTCGAAAGGGGCGTAACCCAGACGAGCGATTGGCGGAGCCTGCGGGAGGGGGCGGAGGCAGAGATGCTGCGCCCCGCGGAGGAACGGATTTGGTCAGGATTCTGGGCGCAGCGATGGGACTCCGGATTGGCTAGACGTGAGCCTGGGGGTGGGGACACGAATGCCAAGAAGTGACAAGGGCAGGATGGGCAGAGTTGGAAGATCGGATCTCAAGCCCCTGGGTGCGATTTCTAACCTCACAGGCAGGGAGGAGGGAAGCTGAGAGGACACGCGCACGTTGCTCCCCATCTGCAAAGAAACCCCTGCCGGTCCGGCACGGTGGGTTACGCCTTCAACCCTAGCACTCGGGAGGCAGAGGCAGATGCTTATCTATGAGTTCGAGGTCAGCCTGGCCTACAGAGTGAGATCCAGGGCTACACAGTAGACCCTGTCTCAAAAAATAGAAAAGAAAAAAAAAAAAAAATTAGAAGAAGAAGAAGAAGAAGAAGAAAAGGCCTATTGTGCGATCTATGCCCTCGTCAGGAAGGATCCAACTGGCTTATTACCAATAGTTCAACTCCTTCTCAAGGGAGGAACGCATACATTGTACTGTTTGTTTAATTTATTCCCTTGCTGGCCGGGGATGCGGGGGGAGGGCACACGGGACCCCAGACCTTACCCAGCTTGGAGCAAAAGGTTTACAACAGTAAAACTCTGCCTAGCAACCACTGACATTACCACATTTCGGGGCACTGATTGGCTAGATTCCAGGACCCCAGAAATATTTCCTTTGCACATGTCCACCCAACCTCAAAAACCAAAGAGACAAACAGTTTGCAGTTGGCTGTTGTATTTGCATAAAACCAAAGCCAGGAAGATACACTGCAGGGACAAGAATAGGCTGAGCTCACTGGCAGTAGAAATCCCATTTCTGAAAAAAAAAAGGGGGGGGGAACAGTAGATAGATCAGATTTGACCTCACAGAAGTAAACAAATTATCTTCAAGCCCTGTAACCTCTGCATGTCCCAATTAGAAACCACTCTGCATTGAGCAGAGCCTGGTTGCACATGCCTGAAAACGAAGCAGCCCTCAAGAGGCTGAAGCTGAAGGCTAGTGATTTTGAGGCCAGCCTGGGTACATACCCTGTCTCAAGAAAAATATATATATGTATTACTAACAACAACAAAAATAATTACTTCTCATTTTCAGGTGAGAAAATGAAGGAACCCTTCCACTCCCCCCTCCACCACAAGATACTCACGTCCGTCTTCATATCAATTTTGGCAGGTTTCAGAATCAGGTCCTCCCGAACAATGCTACTGGGGAAATAGCCCAGGCGGGCAGCCAGGTCTCCATAGTAATCTCCCTGAACCTGGAGAAGAACTTATAAGTCCATCTGGGGAAAAAATGGTACTCATGCCCGCTGAACCTCAGGACACAGTCTTCTCTAACTTGAGCCTCAGCTTAAATGTCATTTGCTCATGGACAGAATGCAGCCACCATAACTAATCTCTACAATGTTTGCTGCCACTTTTGATGCCGGCTGCCTGCCTTATCCCACAGAATTGAAAGGGACTGACTGGAAAAGAGCTTGGAACCAGGCTGCCCTGTGATTGCTAATGCAAAAATGCAAGAGGTGATAAAATATCCTTAGCCCCCAAATTTTTGTTTTCCCCCTCCCACCCAGATTTTCCCTTCAGATGTTAAATAGGGTGTACCTCTCATACCCTTCCCTCTAACACTCTGAAGACTCACACTGCCTCCCCAGAAGAGTCTCCCACGGCCCTTCAGCTTGGAGAAGACATACACCACTTGGCCCCTATATATGTTCAAGAAGCGGCAATCAGGGGCCATGTAGTCCTGAAGGGCCACAGCCACGGAGATAGGATCTGGAGAAGGAGGAGGTAACAGCAACTTCAGCACGGACCAGCAGTCCAAGCCCTCCGCCCCTTGCCCTTCTTCCCTGAGTCTTACAGCTGCATTCCTCATCCGCACACAGCTTCCAGTCAGCCAGCTTGGGCATGTCACGTTCAGCCTCGATAGGCCCTGGGAAAACAGACAAGATGACCCCAAGGAGCACTGGGAACCACACCATCATGGACCAAGAATGACCAAAGTGAGAAATGGGGTCTCCAGACTCCTTCTGCCCTCCCTCTGTGCTGAGTACAAGGAGAACTGTGTTCTTAATCCTGTCTCCGCCCCAAACCAAATTACACCCCCCACTCACTCCCCCAAGGTTGTTATTCAGCCAGAACCATTTTAGAGACAGAATAAGGGCTATGGGCCAAAGAAAATGCCCACTTGAGCCCAAAGCAACCCAGACCACGCCAAACAGCAGCAACCCCTCAATAATCAGAGAGCCGGACAGGCAGGCTGATCTGATTCCTTCTTTAAGTCATTTTAGGTACCAGGATCCTCCAGAGACCTAACAAGAGAGGCCAGCATAGAAAACCACCTTGGAATTTCCTGTCCTGAGAAGCCTGAAAACAAGGCAGCTCTTTGATTAGCAGGCACAGCCACAGTTCCCAGGTATGGACCAAACACTGAATATCTGGTCTCAGGCTATGCACTGTCCCACGTGGCTCACTGTGCATACCCATAGGCTCTTTCCCCAAGGGAAGGCATGAGCTAAGCTATTCTAGTCTCAAAGCCTCAACCCCCTCATCTGCAAAGACAGCAATAAAAGCAAACATCTATCAAATGTTTGTTATTGGTGGAGGGGTGGGTGTTTGCCTTAGTCTGTATGAGTGTTTTGTTGCATGTATACACTGCATGTGTGCCTGGTACCCTTGAAGGTCAGAAGAGGGTGTTGGATTTTTTGGAACTGGAGCTACCAACACTTGTGAGCCATTAGCCACATGGGTGCTGGGGATTAAACCTGGGTCTTCTAGAAGAGCACTAGTGCTCTGCTCTTAACTGCTGAGCCATCATTCCAGCCCACCCTTTTTTGAAATATGGTTCTACTATGTAGTTCTGGCTGGCCTGGAACTTCTTATATAGACCAGGCTGGCCTCAAAGTCACAAGAGATCCTCTGCCTGCCTCTGCCTTTCTGGTGATGGATATGGCTGTTGTGCCCACCAAGAGACCCTCAAAGCTTCAAGGAGTCAGGAAGCCCGAATGCAAGCACAAGGTGTTTATTTAGGAAAACCGGCTAACTAGGGCTTCACTCTGCTGGGAGAGCTGAAGCCCCGGGACTGCAAATGCAAGGCATTTTTAAAGAGCAAAGAACAGAAAAGTATAGGAAGGGGGTCATGCGTCATTACAGAGAGTTCTTAGTGAAAAAGGTTACTAAGTTTCCATACAAGGTAATTGAGAGACAAAGGGTACTTAGCAAAGGTGCCTTAACTGTTGTCTGCTCACGCAGGGTTGATTCACATATCTTGGGGTCTGGGTGAGGTTATCTAGTTCCCTGTTCCTTTAAGGACATCCTGGGGTCTGGGGGATTTATGACTGGTGGCTTGGGAGGCTACCTGGTTCCCAGTTTTCTTAAGAAACAATGGGGTGGGGAGTGATGTTTACACAATTGGTGATGAGCTCAGGCTCCCCTCTCCTTATGGGAACTGTTTATGACTTCCTGTCCATAGCCTAGAGTCAGGGGTCCCTTGCTTAGTTACGGGTCTTTTTATTTTCCTCCTTACAATGGCACCACCATGCAGAATTAGAATCAAGTGTATTCTTTCCTTAGCTCATTACCTCAGGAGGGGCAAGCTCAGTTGTAGTGACATTTTTATGATCTAATAAACCTTAGCTGGGGATCAGAATTCAAAGCTAGCCATAGCCATAGGGCCAGGCAGTGGTGGCACACACCTTTAATTCCAGGACTCCGGAGACAGAGGCAGATGGATTTGAGTCCAAGGCCACCCTGGGCTACTCTAGACTGAATCAGTCTAAAAGATAAACAGAGCTTACACCTTTGATGCCAGCACTAGAGAAGCATATAAGATAGGAGCAGGGTCTCGTATTCTGGGCAATTAGTCTACAACCTTGTTGAGGACAGGATCACCCCAGTCTTGATAGAGATAAAAGCTCCCTAGTGGTTTGGCTGCTTTGCTTCACTGATCTTCAGCTTGAAACCTGGTCTCTGTCTCTGGGTTTTTATTATTCGTGCTACACCCAGTTCATGAAGAAATTGAAGTATATAAAGTTAAGGAACGTGTGTCCAAGAAAAGGGACAAGCGTTGTCTTGAAGCACAGCCCTCAGAAGAAATAACCCATCAACAAATAAGCAGGGGTAGAGGCCCAAGGGCCGTGTTTACTGACCTCACAAGGATACAATGGCTGTAGCAGCTTGAATGAAAATGGTCCTTAGAGGCTAATATAGTCAGTGTTTGGGTTCCCATTTGGTGGACTGTTTAGGAAGGACAGGGAAGGGTAGCCTTGTAGGAAGATGTCACTGGGGGGTGGGCTTTGAGGTTTTAAAATACCCAAGCCAGGCCCAGCTCTTTCTCTGTACTTTCATCTTGCAGATCAGTCGTAAGCACCAGTACCATGCCAGGCTGTTGCCATGATCTCCTCCATAATGGCCACGAGCTAATCCTCTGAAACAGTAAACAAGCCCCCAAATAGTTTCTTTGTAAGTTACTTTGGTCATGGTTCTCACACAGCAGTAGAATAATTAAGACATGGTTGAGTGCCTGCTAGTCTTGGGTTTAGTCCCCAGTACAAAAAATAATGCATGGTAATGTATAATTTATATGACAAGGGGCCTGGGATGGAGTTTGTCAAGTATGTACAAAGCCACAGGTTCAGTGTTCAACACTGTTGAAATAAGTGCTTAGGTGTGAAATAAATGCTTAGGTTGTGGAGATTTACTGCAAAAGCTTTGGTCAAAAACTGCTAAGTGAATTTAAAATGTGAGTGTTCTCTGTGCATACAATAGCTATTTTACTGTGAACACTACTTTCAAATCTTAGCACTGTGAGGATTCATCGGGGAATGAACATCTGAAGACTTCTGGGAGACAATTAACTAATAAAGGGCTGCAGATACAACTCTGTTGGTAGAGTCCTTGGTTGGCCTGGTATCCACTGAGCTCTGGGATCCACCCACAGCACAAGCAATGCAAAGACAAGAGGACACACATTCAAGGCCATCCTGTTACACGGCAACTTCTACGTTAGTGGTTAGAAGCACTTGCTGCTCTTGCCAAGGGGTGACTCACAACCATCCCTGACTCCAGTTCCAAGGGATCTGATGCCCTCTCCTGACCTCTTTGAGCACCAGGCTTATAGGTGGTACCTACACATATATGAAGGAAAAGCATTCATGAACATAATGTAAAATAAACCTAAAATTAAAAACAAAACAACCTTCTGATGCAGGTAACTGTAATCCCAGAACTCAGGAGGAAGAGGCAAAGGAAGGCAGATCTCTGAGTTCGGGCCAGCCTGATCTACAGAGCTAGTTCCAGAACAGCCAAGGCTACATGTGCAAAGAAACAGACTTGGGGACACAGAGTAAATAAATATGTATATATGCATCTGTGGTAAAACATCTATCTGCTTAAGCATGTGTAAAACTTAAAAGTAAAACAAAAAAGTATTTAGAAAGCACATTCACCATATTGCCACATTGTGGAAAGAACCCAAATTCTTTAAACACCAATGCATTAGATACTCCAAATGCAGTAGCTTGACCACAACAGTGGGTGCTTTTAATATATGCAGTGTCAGAATTGTTCTCTTGCTATAATTATTGCCTAAGAAATACAAAACATGAGACTCAGTGCCCACGTGGAGTTTATTGATAAAGGGCAGAGAATGGGGGGGAGGGGTAGCTGGTGGCCAACCAAAAGCAGAAGAGAGCAAGGGAAAGAGAAAGAGAGAGAGGCGTGCTTGGTGCACTTGCTTTAAAAGGGAAACTTGCGCAGCCAGGTAAGTCATGACAGCCATGAGCATCCCACCCATCATCAGGGACGGGGTCAGCAGACTGCTTGGTTCTGACAAGAATGCTTACCTGATATGTACAAGGATGACTATAACAGCAAGGAAAATTACCATTAGCATTTTGGTGGGGCAGAAATCTGACTGAAAGGTGGAGCTCCATCAGAAGGTTGGACTTGGTGAGGATCTGCCTCCAAGCCCAGACAACTGCTGAAGAACGCAATTGCTTTAGGAATAGGACTGGATAGATTGTTTGCATTGACTATGGCAGGTGGGTTCAGGGAGGCTGACACAAGGAACTTTTGTTGGCCTTTTTAATTCTACTGTATGGGTATACTGTCTGAATGTGTGATGTGTGCCTGATGCCCTTGGAGTCCCTGGGAGTGGAGTAACAGTTGTGAACTGTGCTTCCTGTGAATCAAATTCCAGTCTTTTTCAAGAGCAGCCAGTGCTCTTAACCACTGAGTCATCTTGCCATCCCCCAAAGCCTACAAAAGTTAGCCCTGGCTGACCTGGAAATCACTCTACAGACCAGGCTGGCCTCAAACTCACAAAGAATGGCTTGTCTCCACCTCCTCCTAAGTGCCAGGATTAAAGGTGTGTGCCACCACAACCTGGCTTTTTTTTAAGCCTTTATAATATTACATCTCATCATTTTTTGCTATTCAGAAACCCTCCATTCTTATGCGTGGTTTGGCTTACTATGGTTTCAGATAACCTAGAAATGTTAAATGGAAAATTATAGAAATATTTGAATTTTAAATGAAATAAGTCATTTTGAATACTGCAATGAAATCTCACTTAGCTCCATTTCTGCATGCCAAGGATATGAATCAAATTTTTGTTTGGTGTATCCACATTGTATGTTAACCACCCTCATTCATGTAAGCAGACCAAGACTTTGTCCCACTGTTTGGGTCCAAGCTATGCTTATCATACTTCATAGTGGACCCGAAGCACCAACTACTGATGTTGCCAAGTAAGCTGACATATACCTATAGTTCAAGAATTTGGGAGTCTGGGGCAGGATTGTGAATTTGGAATCAATCTGGAGTGTAAAGAAGACATCAGGAAAAAAAATTATTTTTAAAGATTTTATTTATTACGTATACAGTGTTCTACTTTCATGTCTGCCTGCATGCCAGAAGAGGGCATCAGAACCCATGTGGTTGCTGGGAATTGAACTCATTCATGGCTTCTGGAAGAGCATCCAGCGCTCTTAACCTCTGAGCCATCTCTCTAGCCCTTTTTTAAAAAAGACTGAGGCTCCAGAGGTCAGTCACTTGTCAGGATCAGAGCAAGTGACTGGGGCACCCTGAGTTCTGAGCTGGCCAGGCACAGCCCCATGGCAGGCAGAGAACGATCAGATACACACTGCCTTAGTCAGGGAGGAGTTTGTTGGTGTGGAGATGAAACTGAACACCTCTACAAACCCAGCACCCAACAGTTCTACCCCAAGACAGACACCTCCTCATAAGAGCTTTGCCCTGATCACCCCAACTGATCCTAGCTCTACGGGCCCCACCACAGCAGCTCGGGCAATCCCTCTGCCTCAGCCTTCTGGATACGAGGACCACAGCCTGTCTACCAGCTTTGATTTTCACTCCCAAGTTGTATTCAGGTAAATCTCCTGATGCTGGCTCAGTGCCTGGTGGTGTTTGTGGGAACACACATGACCAATATCATGGCAGTAACACGAAGAAAACAACCCTAACGTGCAGACACTAACTGCCCACTGGCTGACAGCTAGGGAGGCCCCCAACTGCAAGCCTGATGTGGGCTGACCACAGAGCCCACATGTCACAGCCACCAGGCTAATGTGGTGAAGAGTTTCCACTCGCCTGTCTGCAGTAACATGGGAGTCTCTTAGTGAGGCAAGCAACAGCTTTGTCCTCCTCCTGCAAATGCCATGGGGACACAGACTTCACTCACTGAGCCATCCCTCTGTAATAGAGTGTAAAAGCAGGAGCACAAGAGACTTGATGTGCCCTTCTGAAGCAGGAATATTCTTACGCAGACCACCACCGGCCCAAACGTACACGGGGGTCTTGTTTCTTGCCAAAGTTGTCAATGTACCCTAAGTGTGGTTAATATTGACACCCCTGTGCGTTTTCCAAGATTGTGAACCCACAGAGGCCACGGGATCCAAACTCTCCATGTGGACGGAACCAAGGAAGACAAAATAAGACAGACAATAGTGGTAAAAAACCAAACCGGGAAAAAAAAAAAAAAAAAAACCACTTTAATCACAAGCTACCAGCGCCAGGTGCAATGTCTGGGGACAGACTCTGGGTACAATGCTGTGTGGCAAGCACACACTCACACGCGGCTCTGAGAAGGCCCCCAAGGGGGACTTACCTTCAGGGACTGAGCCAAGGGGGGAAAGGGACAGCCCCAGAGTGGGCTGAGATGCCCCGTGGGGGGAGGCGCTACTTCTTGGCAAAAGAGATCTTCATGGCATTGTTCTGTGTGATCTTAAAGCCTTGCAGGGCGTCTCGTGCTGCCCCAGCCTGCACTTCATTGTCAAACTCCACGAAGGCGATGTCGTGCCGCCCAGGGACCAGACGCACCTCCTTGAAGCCAGGGAACCTGGGAGGGAATAGCAGACCTCAGAGACCCACCTCAGCATTCCCCTACTATTTTGGCACCAACAAAATGATAGCGCCCAGAGACGCTGAGCTCCCCATAATGCACAGCACAGATCCCATACTGAAAGATGACCTGGACATAAACACCGTCAAATCAAAGTCTTAACAGCCAAACAACCACAATGTGGATCAAGCACTAACTCCTTTCCTTCCCATGAAGTCTGCCCCGAATCACAGAAACTGTCACCAATTGATACTTTCACACTTTTTGTTTTGTTTTTAGTTTTTTTCAAGACAGAGTTTCTCTGTGTAGCCCTGACTGTGCCGGAACTGACTCTGTAGACCAGGCTGGCCTCAAACTCCAGCTCAGGAGCACATACAGACACACGTATAATCAAACATAAAGCAAAGGAAATCTTTAAAAGCCCTTCCATGCTCCAGGTCTGACTGTCCCTTCACACCACAGGTCACACGCTGCCCAGGCTACACAGTAGAGAAGGAACCGATTTCAATCCCCCTGCTTCAGCTTTCCAAGTACGGACACGACATGTGTTCACTGCCGCTATGCCCAGGGTCGATAAGACATTTCTGTAAGAGGTGTGTGCGGGAGACATGGCAACTAGGAAAACTCAGCCCCACTCCACGGAGCAGCCCCAGAGGTCCCAGTGTCCCCAGTGCCCCTTGCCACTTTGTGAACAGGCTAGCTCATGCCAGTCTGAACCGGCCCCACACTTTGCCACTCTTTTACTACTATTCCCTTGTTCTGCACCTCTCAATGTCATGGACACAAAAGGCAGCCCAGGACCCAAGACACACGGTGCCCACAGCACTGCATGTCCCCAAGGCCCATCTTCCTTTCCCCCCGTCCACACTTCACCCGCCCAGCCAGAGGCTCCACTTACTGGTTGAAAAGCATGGACAGCATGAGCTCATTGGTCTCCTCAGGCAGGTTGGTGAGGAACAGGATGTGATTGGGTGGATTCTCGGAGAGCTGTGGGGAGAGACGGCTACAATGAGCAGGGGTCCGCTGATGAGGATGCCTGGTAATGCACTCTGCTCCCTAATGGACACACTGCCATCCATCCCCCCACAGCCAGTGGCCCCAGAGACTGCAGGCCCAAGAAGGCAACAGGGACTTTTTGGCTTTTGCCACTTGTGGGAACCCACACAATTCGCCATTACAAGATGGCGCCAAAGACTGTTGTAAACAGCCTCATTTTGGCACGTGCCCTCCTCGAGTCTGCCTGGCAACAGCTATGCACCAATCCCAGACTGACTGGTGTCCTTTCAGGAAGGAACGCCCATCCTGCCTAGATATAAGCCGCTCCTTTCCTTGCTTGTTGGCCCCTCATCTCCAGCTCTCCCTCAATCAAGAAGCGCTTCAATAAAGTGTGATCAGAGAAGGATCCTCGTGTCGGTGGTCTTCTTCCCCTGCGGGTCAGGGGCGCGCCACAGCCACTACTGTGTGCTAGGTCTAGGACATGTCATGGTACACAAACGGTGCCTCAGTGCACACACCACACCTGGGTGCAGACGCTGACTTAGCCTCATCCTGCTCCCCCAGAACATACCAGTCAACCCCTCTCTGTCCCAGGAGGGCTCACCACACATGGAGCTCAGCTCCAGCCCTACCTCCCACCTGACCTAAGTCCCATGTAACCTCTCTACTTCTAATCGCAGACTATGCTTGGAAGACCTCAGGGTGGTGTGGGGTCACTTACAGGCTGGGCAGGCGGCATCTGTCCAGGCATGAGCTGCTGTGGGGGCATGGCCCCAGGAGGGATCTGGCCAGGAGCAAGGCCTGGTGGTGGGATCATGCCAGGTGGTGGCATGTAAGGCGGCTGGCCTGGCATGTGGTGCATGATACGGGGTGCCTGAGTCATCGGCGGCATACCCTGTGGGGAAAAGGGAGGCGAGGTCACAGCTCCCACAGTGCAAAGTAGAGCTACGAGATAAGAGACGGAAAGAGAAAAGATAAAAAACAAACACCCAATGAACAAAGAGAGCAAAACTGAAGACTTGAACTCAAGGAAGAATACTAAACCAGATATTTGCGAAAGTTAAAGGTACAATCAGAGTATAGCCCAACTTTGTTCAAATGCATAAAAAAAAAAAAAAAAAAAAAAACCAGAGAGGATGGAGAAATGGCTCAGTGAGTAAAAGAGGGGATAACACAACAGTCTGGTTCCCAGCACCCAGTCAGCTCCCAACTTCTGTGATTCTACCTCTTGAGGACCCAATGCCCCCTTCTGGCCTCCACAGGCTCTACACTCATGTGCACACATATCCACATACAGTCACAAATAAAAACCAACCCCCCTGCCTTTGAGACATGGTCTCACTATGTAGCATGGCTGGCCTGGAACACACAAGGCTCTGCCTACCTTGTGCTGGGATTAAAGGTGAGTACCACCACACTTGGCCCAAAATTAGATCTTCAAAGGAAAAAGAAGAGAGGACTGGAGAAGAGGCTCAGAGGTTAAGAGCAGTGCCTGTTCTTCTGGAGGACTAGGGTTCAATTCCCAGCACATACATGGCAAATCACAAATATATATAAAGTATTAAAAACAAAACAAAAAACCCCCAGCAAACTTATAAACTAGTAACCCAGCTCAGCAGGCAAAGGCACCTGCCTCCAAGCCTGACGACCTGTGTTCAACCTCCAGGGTCTAGCTGGTATAAAAGAATTGACCTCGACAAGTTGTCCTCTGACCTCTGCTCATGTCCCACGGCATGAACATGCTCAACACACACAGGGAACAAATTGTAATCTAAAAATGGAAACAAGCCAAAGGCGGGAAGGAAGCAGGGTGAGAACAGAAGGAATTATCAGTTGGGCACAGACGCCACCACTAGCTGCAAAGTGCAACCCAGCCTGAGAGCCACGAGACAAGACTCATGAGAGACTGAGACTGAAGGAGGGGACAAAACTCAGCCATCTCCTCTTCTCCGCACAGCGCTCCACTTCTCCTGCACTCACCAAGATCACAGAGTCACCTTGGAGGGTCCTTTAGCACCTTTACTGGGTCTGCTGCTCTCCAAGATTCGGCCTGACCTCACACTCCTGATCCCTGTCTCAACCTCCTGAGTGCTAGAACTGCAGGCTACCACCCCTGGCATGAGTTAACTCTGATACACAGTACGAGGTCAATTTTCCTTCTTTCACTTCTGGTGCTAAGGATTGAATCCAGGACCCTGAGAGAGCTAGGCGAGCAGGCTACCACTAAGCCACATCCGTAGACCGAGGTAGGGCCACACTTTTCTCTTATAGATGCAATTGCCCTGCATCAGAACTACAGGCATTCTGTAGGACGTTTCTAGACTGTTCTGCCTCATTAGCCTCTCTCTATATCCATAGGCCTATGACAGGTCATCTCGGAGGCTCTAGAACCCCCTCCAGTCCTGGATAACTCTCCAGAATTGGTTCCCTCCTCCAACCACAGAACCCAAGGACCGAACTGGAGTTGCCAGGCAAACACTTTTCTGATAAAAGAAGGGCTATCCTGGTCATGCTGGTCTGTTCAGTGCTCACTACACCTCCTACCCAGCTATGGTGGTTTCACCTTTGGATTTACCTGTGTGGGACATCTTTGCTTAGTAACACCAAAAAACAACTGGTTCTTCTTCATTCTTCCTCCCGCTTGAAGTACTAAATTGATTGTTGTACTCTATAGTCCACTAGTCTCTCTAAATTAAATATGCCTGCCTATTATTTCTAACAGGAGGGTAATAACTTTTGACTTTCTATAAAGTCATGGACTCAGTGCATGCGCATTCTATCTCCCTCCCTTTCTCAAGTAAACATACACACAACAAAACCAAAACCAAGGAAAGGGAACCAGGAGACAGATGTGGAAAAAAAAAAAAAAGAAAAGAAAAGAAAAGGGCAGACTTTCAAAAACAATCAAGTGTATGCTGGGGAACAGGCACTCAAAAGAGATTCCCTCCCATCTACATAGCTCACCAACCCAATGAGACAAGTCCCCTGCCTACATCAGGCCACATGGCTGATGGCCTGACATTGAAGGGCCCATTCCTGAACCCCAGCTTACCGGTACAGGCTGCACAGCGCCCACCACGGGAGCAGCTGCTCCACCCTGAACAGCCTTTTTGGCAGCTGGTGTCTCCTGACTCTTGGGCTTCCTCTTCTCTCGTTTGCGGTCCCTCTCCACAAAGGTGCCCTTCATCTTGGCTATGATGTCTGAGTCAGTCTTGGCATATTGAATACGCTACCAATCAGAGCAGAAAGGTCAAGGACATGGAAATCAGAAGAAAACGTCAAGAGTTCAAAATGAGACCTCATGAGGAACTTGCTTAAAAAAAAAAAAAAAAAAAAAAAAAAACTATACTGCTTGGCCACAACTTCCTCATCTGTAAAATGGGGGTATTTTCTCTACTTGGTAGTATTGTGGTAGAAACTGAATAGGTCTAAGTGCCTGAAAACAGCAGTCCCTGGACTACAGTAAGCAGCTGCTAACTGCTTGGTGCTTACAACCCTCCAATGAAGAACCCAGATACATGCTCAGACACATAAAAATACTTAAAAAATAATAAATTAAAAAAAAAGAGAGAGACAGGGTTTCACCATGTGGTTGGCTGGTCTGGAATTCCCCATGTAGAACAGACTGGCCCAGAGACCTATCTGCCTCCCTAAAATTAAAAGTATGCACCACTGGTTCCCAGCAATAAATCATTTTATTTTTCAAGTCCCAGGCTAAGAAGGGGACCTGATGTGTTGCAAAGAGAACCTTTCAGATCTAATGCTTAGGAAATGGGATGGGTAATCATCCTGCCGCAGCCTCCTACATATAGGCATGAGCCATCATGCTCAGTTTCCTGATTATTTTGCATCCCCACAGCCCCAGTATAAGGAACACTGAACGTAAAGGACCAAGCAAGAAAAAGTAGCATCCTTAGGGAACACTACAGGGCACAGGTCCACACGCACCCAGTTTCCTTCAGCCTCCATATTTGAGATGCTCACCATGGGCTTGTCGTAGAAGGGGAAACCCTGCATGGAACGCAGGGCATTAGTGGCACTGCTGACCTCCTTAAAGATGACAAAGGCCTGGCCCCTCATCTTCAGGCTCCGAGACACCAGGATATCCAGGATCTGGCCAAACTGGGAGAAGATGGCATACAAGGACTTCTTGAGCTCTGCATTCAGGGAAAACAAGACACACCATGACAAAAGGCCTGGGCACTGTGTCCTGGGATCTGCACGGTCCTTAGAGAGGATGGACAGCCCAAATGAGGGGCCACTGCCAATAGACAGAATACACAGAATTCTACAGCACAAGAACCCACAATAGCTGGGTGGTGATGGAACCCACCTTTAATCCAGCACTAGGTAGGCAGAGGCAGGCGGATCTCTGTAATTTCAAGGTCAGACTGGTCTACAGAACGGGAGTTCCAGGACAGCCAGGGCTACACAGAGAAACCCTGTCTTAAAGGTCAAAAAAAAAAAAAAAAAAAAAAAAAAAACCACAAAACAACCAACCCACCCACTGTAACAGCCAAGAACCACCCACATGGACATGTTTACAGGACTCTACAAGGCCAGCTGTCATACCTGCCTGCTCTACACTTGCTGTTCAAAAAGCACAAGCCCTTCTTTTCCACCTCAGGTCTCCAGCTGAGCCGGCCTCCTGGTCCCATCCTAAGCCTGACATGCCCCCACCCTTTTTCTGAGACAGGGTCTAATTACACAACCTCAAACTCTGAGCAGTGTCCCTGCTTCAGTCTCCTAGTCCCTGATCACATCTTAGCCTTCACACTCTCTTCATGGACTGTCCCCTTCCAGCCACTTCAGCTCCGGAATAAATCTGCCACCCCCAAAAGGCCCTCTCCAACTGCATCGTCTACATGTCCCCTCATGTCCTTATCCTGCTTGTCCTCTCCACCTGAGGTCAGAAGTTCACTTACAGAGAATCTGTCATCAACTGCTACAAGCCTGTGACTTGGGCATGACAGCATACAACTGAATGGGGGAGGGGGAGGCTGGAGGCAGAAGGAATTCTCTGCTACACACTTAAGTTTGGGGCCAGCCTATGCTATATGAGACCATCTATAAAAACAAAACAACTGGGTAGGACGCCATGGGTTTAATCCTAGCACTCGAGAAGGAAATGCTAGCCTGATCTACACAGAGATCCAGTCCAGCCAGGGCTACATGGTAGGACCCTGCCACAAAATAAATGAGGTTTTTGAATTGTGCTCAGACGTCTTGGTGGCCATTTGTGGCGGCTACGGCGGCAGTCATGGGGGCTCTGGCTCTGCCCCTGACCTGGCAGCTGTATCTCATGGACCACCGCATCTCCACCTTTAAGAACTGGCCCTTCCTGGAGCTGCCTGCACCCCAGAACAGATGGCGGAAGCTGGCTTCATCCTCTGCCCTACCCAGTGTTGTTTCTGCTTTTAAGGAGCCGGAAGGCTGGGAACAGATGATGACCCTATGAAGGAGCATAAAAAGCACTCGCCTGGGTGTGCCTTCCTTACTGTCAAGAAGCAGCTTGCAGAGCTGACCCTCAGTGGGTTTCTGAAACTGGACAAAGAGCCAAGAACAAAACTGCGAAGGAGGCCAACAGCAAGCAGGAAGAATATGAAGAAACCGCGAAGACAGTCCGCCACTCCACCCAACAGCTGGCTGCCTTGAAGCCAGCCTTTGCTAGGACAACTGGACCTGAGTGACGTGCCACATTTAAGCCACGTGTGCCAGTTTTCCCAGCCTGGGCCTCTTAGCAGCGTCTTAATGAAAGAAATAACGGTATTTTGAAACTGGATGTCAAGTATTATTTTTGTCTTCACTTGGAAGTGGCTCAGCCTGTGTGCCTGCCTCTCTTGACTTGGAAGTGGCTCAGCCTGTGTGCCTGCCTCTCTTGACTTGGAAGTGGCTCAGCCTGTGTGCCTGCCTCTCTTGACTTGGAAGTGGCTCAGCCTGTGTGCCTGCCTCTCTTGACTTTGTGGCGTTGCTCTGTTGTGACCTGGGCTGAGGCCGTGAGGAGGGCAGTGTCCAGTGACAGGACCTATGGGGGTAGGGACCTGGGAAAGGTGCTTCTGATCTTCACGCTTCCTACCAGAAGTTGATGAGCCCTGAGCACTATAGGTGTGGTTATGTGTTATGCTGGCGATTCATTTGTCCTCTGGTGTGAGTCTTCAAATGCAGGGTAATGGAATATGATCACTTAAAAAGTGAAAAATGAGTAAATGAATAAATAAATAAGAAAATCGCTGAGCGGTGAGTCACCATGAACTACTTTTGCAAGGTAACTGACTTCATTAAATCCTTACAGCGCCAGGAGGCAAAACCACTTCAGAGTGAGCCCAAGGCCATTTCTCCAGCTCAAGCTCCATACCTTCCCTGCGCTTCCGCTTCCCAGACTGTGTCATATTAAGTTGTCCAAGCCAGGCCTGGACTGTTCTGCAGCCTGACCGGTGTAAAGTAGGGCCTCTGCCTGTGGGGGCTGCCCCCACAGGAGCTGGATTTCGTTCCGTGTCAACAGGTCCAAGCACAACACACAAGCCCTTTCCTTTCCTTTCCTTTCCTTTCCTTTCCTTTCCTTTCCTTTCCTTTCCTTTCCTTTCCTTTCCCGGTACCCATCACCACCCAGCAGCACCCTGCTGCCCTTCCCCAGCCTAGGGAACAAAAGGAACCCTGTTTTGTTTCAGACCTGTTTGCTACAGTGAGAAGCAGTTTGGTGGGGTGGGTGGTGCTGGATCCAGATGGAAATTGAACTGTGGACCTGGCTTGGCCAAGGCTCTCTGTGTCCTCACATACTTGCTCCAGGTGAGGGCACATTTGTGTGTGGTGGGGGTTGGGGTGGAGATGAAGAGTGGAGTGGGAAGGTGGGCGAGCCAGTGGGAACACGAGTGAAGGATGACTTAAGAGTCAACTCTCCTTCCGCCATCAGAGCCGGGAACTGAGTCTCCTGTCTCAGCATTCAAATGCCCAGAACTCCTTTCCTGAAATCACTACCCCACTTTGGGTAACCTGAACTCAGCTCCCCCTCCCCAAGCTCACCTGGCACACACATGTAAGTCAGAGATAGGATACTATCCTCTCCTCCCACCGTGGGTCCTGGAAAGTTAGGCTTGGTGGCAGCCCAACTACCTTTCAGAATACACTTCCATTAAAGTTGTACCCAAAGGCGTCAGTGAAATGGTGGTAAGTAAGAGCCTCCACATCACAAGCCTGGTGACCCCACAGCGGAAAGAGACAGCCTCCCTAGAGCTGTCCTGATCAAACATGTGTATCCATGTGGATTCATAGACACACACAAAACACATAAAAATACTTGCTGCTGTTTTACCTTTTTTTGTATGTGTGCCTGAATTCAACCTTTGCAGAAAAGTAAACATTCTACCCCAGGACCTTACTTCCGGGCAAGAACTGAATTATTTGGTGGGGGATTTAAAATCGTATAATCTTTATATATCTGTGTGGTTACAGCCTAACTGTCCTGGAATTAGCTCTGTAGACCATGCTGACCTCAAACTCAGATCTGCCTGCCTCTGTGACCCAAGTGCTGGAACTAAAAGCGTGAGCCACCACCAGCTGGCCCAAAGTATTCTTATTTTATGCGTGTGGGTATTTTGCCTACAGAAGTCAGACAGGATGCCATATCCCTTAGAGTTACAGACAGTAATGGACTCCCCTGAGTGCTGGGAATCAAACTCTGCTCCTGTGGAGGAGCAGGTAATGATGCTCTTAACTACTGAGCCATCTCTCCAGGCCAATTAGGTTCTGAGTTTCGTAAGTTCAAAACCCAGACCCTTACCTATGCTAGGCAAGACTAACACCACTTGTATTCCTCAATCCTTCTGAAGGCAGGGTCTTGCTATCTATCCTAGGCTGGTCTAGAATTCAAGATTCTCCTGTCTCAGTCTCCTGAGTACTGGGATTGCAGGCCTGCATCACCACGCCCAAAGAAATTGTCTTTGGTTTCTTTTTCACTTGTTCTGATCATGTAGCCCCCTGGGAGTTCTCCTAAGTAACTGAATTATAGCCATCTGCCATCCAAGCAGTCCAAGAGTTTGCTTACCTAGAATCCCACACTTAAGTCTCAACCACTTTGGGGGGGGGGGGAGTATCTGATCTCAGGCAAGTTATGCCACCAAAATTCCAATTTCTTAACCTGAGAGGCTTGTGAGAATGAAATGCATGTAAGACTATAGAATCCTGTTACACAGTATTCACTACTATGTTCTTTGCAATGGAGCTAACCACTAAGACCAAGGCCCAGAGGCCAGTGGACAGAGACAGTCTCATGATAACAGACTGCACTGGGCTTGACGGGGAGAAAGATCCCAAAAGGTGTCACAGAAAGGGGCAGTGAGCTAAAACCTTTGAGATTATCAACAAGGCTCCAGTTAAAGAGCAGAGTGTAAAACGGTTAAGGGTGGGCAGAAAACCAAGGACTCGGAAGATACAATGGCCAAAGTTAACTCTTAACGGGCTGAATGGGCAAGGCTGAGGAGGAAAAGTGGGAGCTAGAGATGGAGGGGGTCAGCTCATGTGAGATCACATGGGTCCAGGCTACGCCCAGAACTTACCATCCTTCTTGATCTTCTCATTGAGATTGTTGATATAAATAGTGTGGTTGGGACGGGTCTCGGGAACTGCCATAGTGTCAGATGCTCAGGGCGGCTGAAAGGAGAAAAAGAGGCGACTTCAGTTCTAAATTTCCCGAAATTCTTTGTCCAAAGGGCTAATCGGCTCTGCTCGGGGATCCTTCCAGGAGGAAGCTGGGTTAAGACCGGAATTGGGGAAGGACAGCACAGCCTGGCAACAAAGGCAGCGTAGGACTCCGCTTCTCCAGCCCGCGTGCTAAGGGTTACTACGAATCCCAGAATGCTCTACGAGGCCCGGCAGGCGGAGCGTACGCAGTGGCGATTCCCATTAGTCCACGCGCGCGAACGGCGTCCGAAGAGGGGAAAAAAAGAACCCGGATGCGGGAGCCAGTTAAGAAAGTAGGGACCGACGGGGGGCATCCTAGTCTCTCAAAGAGGCCGCCCGAAGTGACGGCAGCCGGAGGCCCGACGCAAGCGCCCCACCCGCCTCCCCAGACGCCCCGTCTACAGCGCGGGAACCCACCACCTGAACCGCCGCGCCGGCCTCGCTACTCCGCTCAGACACGCAGCCGCCTGTCCCGGCCCCGCTTGCCCTCCGCGAGACGCTCGCGGCGGCGCGCAAACTCGGTAGGTTCCGCCCGGCCCCGGCCCCAGCGCCTGCCAATGCGAGCGGCGCTGGGTTCCCGCCTTGGTGGTAATCCCCGCCCCCTGCCCGGGTGAGCAGACCAATCAAAGAAGGCTGTGAGCTTTTGGCCAATCGGGACGTTGCTGGAGCGCCGGTGAAGCCACGCCTTTTCCCCTTCCGCCAGTGGCCTCGGGTCACGTGGTCGACGCGCAGCGTCCTACTGGCTGCGAGTTCTACCACGTGGGGTGAGGAAGGACGGCGGTGGCCGGCGGGGAGGGCCGCTGCCATTTGTTCCCCGGCGTGAAGGTGTCTCAGTGCCTGAGTTCCGTCCCTAGTCCGCCCTCGACCGCAGAGCTGCTGTAACTCTCATACTGATTCCAGGCTGATTCCAGGACCTTGCCCCACCGCTAGGCTGTTTCCCCAGGCACGCGCCTCTGACCTCTAGCTCCCAAGGTCATATTAGGTTCCAAACTCCAGCCAGAGATGTGATGGGGCAGGTTACCCCACACCTCACCCCAGATCTTTGCGTCATTATTACGGAAGCGAACAAATGTAGATAGATAGCTCTAAGTGGATGAGGTGACAACATTCCCTCCTGATGTAGCTCCACCCCCATAGCACAGCCCACCCTTGGGGATCCTTCATCATTTGATCTAGCCCAGTTTCTGTTTCCACTGTTTGAAGTACTAATCAAGTTCTCCCAGACCAACTTAGTTTTTACTTTATGTTTTTAATTTTTTATTACAGATTTCTATGTGCGGATCTGAGTACCACATCCTCTGAAAACTGAGAATCTCCATCCTTGAGAGATTTGGGAGGATCCTCTTTCTCCTCACATCAGTTCTTCCGGAAGACCCCACATGACTTCTCCATGTTCTTTCGCCATAACGCCCACAGTCCCCCCAATAGTCCACGAATCCCAAGACCCCACCATTCCACCTCCTTCACCCCCAAGTCCGCCGGACTTACTGTTGCCATCCCCTCCCTGTAGTCTCCAGGGTTCTGGCCCTCCCCCACCGCCACCTCCGCCCTCTGCTGTGGAAGTCGTTCCCCCTCATGTCTACGGCCTGGAGAAGAGCCGGCTCCTGAAGGAGGCCCTGGAGAAGGCTGGCCCAGTGCCCAAAGGCAGAGACGATGTGAGGAGGCTCCTGAAGCTGCACAAGCACAGGTAGGGTTTCCAAACCCCCATCACCCCCCCAGGTTCCATCCAGCCACCTGTCTCCAAATCACGTCAGCTACCCCCATCTCGGCGTTTCCCACTTCCTTGATCTCAAACAGCCAGATGCCTTAAATCTCCTACCTAGCTCTTCGCCGTTTGGCCTCTGGCAATAGAGAGAGCAGCTCCTGCTCATGCCTGGCTCTGAGGCAGAGGCCATGCCTCTGCCCCTCTAGACAGTGACTCCCCGAGTAGCCAGGATGTTAATGGGGCCCAAAGGGAGTGTGTAACTCAGTGATGGCTTCTGAAAGAGAAGCAACTACAAACACTAGAGAGAACGTTACGGAGGCCTCTGCTGTGAGAACAGACAGCATCTGTGCCGGTCTGTAGTAAAGACATGTTGTTTTCAAAGAGGAGCTGGGAAAATCAGCAAACAGCAGCCACACAGCCTGTGACAGGTTGAATGGAGGAATCGGGACTGTCCTGGGTCTCTAATGAGCCAGGGAAAGGCTTTGCTCAGAAAGGGACTACAGTTAGGACTGGAGATCTCAGGAAGAAAGTGATGTGTATGGATACAGAGGGTAGAGAGGAGACCATAGGCCCCTGTCCAAATTGATAAGGAAACTCCCAGTGCCTGGCATAGGGGCACATGCCTGTAATCCCAGAGCTGAGCAGGCCAGACTGAGCTACATAGTGAGACCTTGTCGTAAAAGGAGGGTTGGGAAGGAAGGAAAGGGGATACTTTAATTCTCCAACCACACTTGGCATACTAGGTGCCCCAGCCACCATCATGCAAATTGAATGCAATCTGTCATACCACATAGGTAGTATATGTCGGATTAAAAGTATTTGTTTACTTTGTTTCTTGGCTGTTTCCAGTTGGGTTTTCTTTTTGGCGGGGGGGGGGGGGGGGTAATGTGTTTGGTTGAGATAGGGTCTCATATAGCCCAGGCTGAGCTCACACTCTATGTACTGAGAATACCTGTTCCTTCTTTCTCCACTTCAGGAGATGGTCGGTGTATATGGCCATCACCAGCTGTTTAGTAGTGGTTTGAGACAGGGTTTCTCTCTGTGGCCCTGACTGGCCTGGAATTCAGCGATCCACCTGTCTTCCCCTCCAAAGTGTTGTGATTAAATGTGTAGGCCAAGAAAGATGACTCAGTGGTTCAGAGCACTCACTGCTCTTGCAGAGGACCTCGATTCACTTCCCAGCATCCACATGGTGTGACACAACCATAACCATAACTCCAGATATAGAGGATGCAGCAGTGTCTCTTCTGGCCCCTGTGAGTGCCCACACAGGTGGCATAGACTTATGCAGATACACTTAAGTCAGAGGAAATCTCAAATGAAAGAAACCTGAAGCTCTTAACAGCAGTCACTCAGCCACAGTTGGAAGAGGGAGAGGTCCCCATTTGAACTCCAGTAGGGGAGTTGTTGCCTCTGAGTACCCTGCTGTGCTCAGGAGTTCTCTCAGCCTGAGGAGCTGGAGCTTTGTGTGTGAGCTTACCTCCCAGTGGCCTTGGAATAGGAAAAGCAAGCATATGGCCCTAAGCCTCCAGGGACAAAGATCGCTGGATCCATGTGGCTCCCTCGGGGCAGGACTGATCAGGCCTGCTCAGATTCATCATTGAGGTGATCTCTTGGCCCTTAAGCATATTGTCACTGGGTTTTACTCAAGGCTGAATTAATGTGTGTGTGTGTGTGTGTGTGTGTGTGTGTGTGTGTGTGTGTGTGTGTGCGCGCGCGCGTGCTATAGTGTTTGTGTGTGAGAGGTCAGAAAACACCTTTCATGAGCGAGCTCTCTCCTTCCAACATGTGGGTCCTAGGACTTGAACTCAAGTTGGAAGGCACCTTTATCCACTGAGCTGTCACATCAGTTCCCACGCACCTCCCCACACACACATACCCCCCCCCCCCAGACCTGGTGGGGAGAATAATCAGGCACTGGTCATGGTGGCACACCTTTAATCCCAACACTAAGGAAACTAAGGCAGGAAAATTGCCATTGAATGGAGGCTAGCCTAGGCTACATTTGGAGATAATGTCTACAAAAACAGAAAGAAAAAAATCTTAGCATTTGGGTATAAAACCTTCTAGAAACTTCCTCAGATTAATCTTTGGGACTCCTGGTTGCATAGGTTCTGCTTGTGCTCTTTGCCTTTCAAGGACTATGAAAAGCATCAGGAAACAGGCAAAATGGTGACTCCACTACCAACACCACCAAATGGGAAAGCCGAGGGGAGGCAATCAGCAGTGCCTCAGCAGGGGAGTAGCTCTGAGGCCTTAGGACTGCCCGCTCAGTCCCCAGGGTATATCCTCAGAGCTGCTCCCTGGTGCCCAGGTTTCGAAGTGACTTGCAATGGATCCTCTTTTGTGCCGACCTGCCATCACTCATCCAAGAAGGCCCTCAGTAAGTGCCCGTCACACTGATGCAAGAGGCCCAGAAGTTTTCCAAGGCCGGGCTGGTACAGTGAGAATGGTATCCCCACCCCCTCCCCAGGCATCCTGGGGAGGGGGGAGAGAAAGCAGGGCGATTTCCACATCGTGGTGAGTGTGAGTGCGCGTGCGTGAGTGTGAGTGTGAGAGGGGGTGGGGAAGGGAGGGAGAACGGGAGGAGCGGGAAGCACAGGTTTGTCCCCACCTTCCAGCCTGTTCTCCCGACCTGGCATGGGAGGGGAGGCAGTCCCTAGACAGCACACCTCTCCCTCCTCTGAGGTCAGGGGAGTTGAGTAAAGACGAGGCACATGCTACAGAGTGGCCTGCCTCTCCCAGGTGTGGACTGGTGGCCCTGTGGATGGCAGGTACCCTTCTGTCGACCCCTGACAGCGTCTCTCTGGAGAGACTGGTGCAGGTAGCCATGGAGAGAGGCTACACGGCGCAGGGAGAGATGTTCTCTGGTGAGTCGGCTGGGAAATACCTCAAGCCCGGAGTTCCTCTGGCTCCTCTCTAGGCCAGCTGAGGCACTGCAGGAGCAGGTCTCATTCCCTTCTGCTCTGTCCCCTTATAGCAGGAGACTGTTGTTACCAAAGTCAAACCACCTTAACTACTGACCCTCTGTGCCTCACTTTTTTTTTTTTTTTTTTTTTTTTTTTTTTGTATTTGTTTTTTGTAGTACTAGGAATTGAACACAGGGCTGTAAGACAAGGGCTCTACCACAGAGCTCCACCACTAGCCTTCCACTGGGGGATTCTAGGCAGGGGCTCTACCACTGAGCTCTATTTCCAGCCATTGTTTTCTTTTGAGACATGGGCTCACTAAATTGCTCAGCCTGGTCTTGAACTCACTGGGTAGCTCAGGCAGGTTTTGAACATTTGATCCTCCTAACTCAGCCTCTGAAATAGCTGGGATTGCAGGTCTCTTTCCTCAGGCCCAGCTTGTGCCTCATTTTCTGAACTTGTACAAACGCTAAGTCTTTTGAAGTGATTCTCATTCATGTATTTATTTAATCCACACCTTCTCCCTCTCTGTCTTTCTGTCTCCCCCACCCCCTTCTCCAGTGGCTGACATGGCCAAACTGGCCCAGGAGACCTTGGACTGCCAGGCTGAGCTCCTGTGTGGCGGCCTGGGTGGTCCCAACAGAGAGCGGGTCCTGCAGCATCTCACCACTGGACACCCCTTGCTCATCCCGCATCCCGTGGTCGGGGAGGGAGCAGGGCAGGGATAGTGAAGGGTGGGGTCCAGGGCCACACCACAGTTTGGACCTTAACACCAGCTCCAGCTATGATGAGGACTTCAACCATGAACCGTGTCAGAAGAAAGGCCATAAGGCGCACTGGGCAGTGAGCGCAGGTGGGCCCCCCCACCTTCGCCCCTAGATCTCTCCAGCCACTGTTACTAACCCCATTCATACTGTGTCTGCACTGAGGGCCTGGGCAGGAGCCTGGCCACCTCTTTTCCATGCAGTACTTAGCCGAAAGCCCAGCAGCACCAGGTCCCTGGCTACCAATTAGAGTTCCCAGACACAGGCTCAGAGCACCACCTAGGGGGTAAGGGGCTAAGGGGCTGGAGGCCCAGCCCAGCCTCTTTAAACTCCGTCATTTTGCCTAAGGCTCTTTACTTCTCTGGGCCTGTTGCCCATGTGGAAATCGAGGAAGTAGGGGAGGGTATTGGCTTTCCTCACAGAAGCACCTTGAGAGGTCCAGGGGATTCTTCATGGAAGGGATGGGGTGGCAGCTGATGAGTCCATAGAGAGGGAGGAGCTTGAGGTACAGCTTGTTGCTGTAGACCAGGAAGCAGAGAGCTCCACCCAGAAATGGAAATTGGACTATAACCCTGCCCTTAACACTTCAACCCCACCCCAGTGGTCCACTTCCTCCAGCAAGAGACAGCACTGCCAACTGAAAGGTGCAAGTCCCCACCCTGAACCCTAAGGGCGAGAGTGCACACCCAAACAGTAATGGAGGCAGCACTGCCTCTGAGTGCTGCCTGGCAGGGACGCAGCCCTGTAGAACATTGTCGGCACTGCACGTGTCTCACCAGCAGCCTGCCTGGTCCAGATGTGGTTCTGGCTCTGTGTGAGGGTCTTTCTGGGGTCCTCATTTCAGTGCTGTCCCCCCCTTCGGTGTGCTGACAGAGGCAGGACTGTGGACACCTGAGACTTTGGAGCCAGAGGCCCTGCTCTGCACCCCAGTCCTAACCTTGTGGCAGCCAGGCAGCACCTGGCCAGCAGGGTCACCAGGGATCCAGGAGCCCTGGCATCCAGCTGTAACCCAGGCAACTCACATCCTCTTCCTGTCCCCCAGGGGTCCTCATAGGTGTGCAGAGCGTGCCAGCCCCTGGCTACATGGAAGACGCTGAGTTGCCAGGCCTCTTCCACCCAGTGCCTGGCACACCCCAGCAGCCACCATCTTTCCCAGAGGAAAGCTCCCCGGGTGCCACCTTCCTTCTCTCCAAGCAGGGCAAGAGTTGGCATTACCAGCTGTGGGACTACAACCAAGTCCGGGATAGCAACCTGCAGCTGACAGACTTCTCTCCTGCCAGGGCCGCGGATGGACGGGTGTACGTGGTACCCGCCGGTGGGGTACAAGCTGGCCTCTGTGGCCAGGTCCTGTTGCTGAGACCACAGGGGTGGAGCCCTTAGCTGGGGCTGGGGCACGGGCACCTGCCCTGAAGTTACCTCTATCACCATTAAGAGTGCCTCACTTCGTCCCCTGCGTGACGTCTGTAGTCCAGCCTGTATCTTGAGAACGTCCTGCAGAAACCTATCACAGGATCACTCCATCTGTGGAGTCACAAGCGTGACCATTGTCCACAGTCTAAATTCATTAAGGATTAAGCACGCCTTTGGTTAAGGGAGACTTGTTTTTGTGGAGGCTTTTTTTTTTTTAAAGCATGATTTCTGCCTGGGAGTAGCGTCACATGCTTCTAAACCCAGCACTGAGAAGGTAGGGAACAGGTTCTCAACCTGTGGATCATGACGCCTTTGGGGGTCAAACAACCCTTTCACGGGGTCTCCTAAGACCATTGGAAAACAGATATTTCTGTTATGATTCAGAACAGCAAAATGATAGTTAAGAAGTAACAACAAAAATAATTGTATGGTTGGTGGTCATCATACCATGAGGAACTGTGTTAAAGGGTCTCAGCATTAGGAAGGTTGAGACCCACTGAGGAAGGGATGGGAGGATTCTCTATGAGTTCAGAACCATCCTGGTTTACTCCATGCCAGCCAGGGCTACACAGTGAGACCCAACAAAAAAACAGATCTTAACTATGAGCATTGGATGACCGCCCTATGTAGTAGACCAGGTTGACCCTAACCTCACAGAGATTACCTGGCTTTGCTTCCTACATGCTGAGATTAAAGGTGGGTTCCCCCATACCCAACCTAGAGGAAGACTCTCCTTTTTTTTCTTTTGGTTTTTTCAAGACAGGGTTCCTTTGTAGCTTTAGAGCCTGTCCTGAAACTCACTCAGTAGATCAGACTGGCCTCAAACTCACAAAGACCCACCTGCCTCTGCCTCCTGAGTGCTGGGATTAAAGGTGTGCGCCACCACCGCCTGGCTGAGGAAGACTCTTGACAGTAACCCAGACCCTCATCGTGGTCCTCCCCCCTGAATGTGACATCCATTGGTCTCTCTTTGGGGGCATCTTTTAAGACACTTTGTTTACTGGACATCTACAAGAGCCTGGACCCCCTGTTACCCATCTCCAAGTTTGCTCACAGGACAGGAATGAACCCAACTCCCTTCTTGGCCTACCTCACTCAGATACTGCTCACCTGCATGGCAGCCATGGTGGCCTTTGAGAAACCAAGACTAGGTGCCAACACCAGCTGTGAGCTGAATATGACTATCACTCTCCCTGAGCTGGCAAGACGGCTAATGAGTAAAAGTGCTTGCCAGGCCCGATGACCCAGGGACCATGTAGTGGAAGAACTGATTCCCACTTGCTTCCTGTAGTATATCCGCGTTCAACACAAACTCAAATATAATTTTTAAAAATGTTAAAGCTTATTTCCCCTAACTTTTCCATCTTGGCTCCAGTATCGTTTCCCCTTTAGAGTCCACATGAGAAGAGGAATATGTGAGTTTTGGTTTTTTAAAAAAAGATTATGTATACAGTGTTCTGCCTGCACACCGGCAGAGGGCATCAGATCTCATTACAGATGGTTGAGAGCCACCAAGTGGTTGTGGGAATTGAACCTCTTAGAAGAGCAGCCAGTGCTCTTGACCTCTGAGCCATCTATCCAGCCTGTTTGTTTTCTAAGACAGGTCTTGTTACGTTATGGAGTCCAGGTTAGCCTTGCACATGCCACATCCTAGCCAAGACCAGGGTAGTGGTGCAGGTCTATAATCCCAGCATTTGGAGGGTAGAGGCCAGAGAATCAGTTCAAGCTCATCATTGCTGCATGACAAGCTCAGGGACAGTTTGAGCTAACTATGTAAGACTCTTATTAATGACATAGGAAGCAGTTGTGGGTGCCTCCTACTTTATCCTAATGAATAGGAAAATAATACACCCACACAGAAGAGGGGAACAAGTCTAGGTTGCCGTGGTGCTCCCAGCACTCACAGATCACATTTTAGAGATCATGCAGTACGTAGTAACCAGTGAGTGGGGTGGGCAGCAGTCTGTCTGAACCCTGACCCTAATATCTGACTGCCACTGCCGTGGTTCATTGTGCTGGAGCTCCAAGGACTGGCCTGGGAGCCGTGTATCTTTGCATGGTCGAGTACAGAGCCAGGCCCAGGAGAACAGCAGTTCAGGCTAATCGTAGTGGTATATACCATGTCAGTATCCGAGAGGGTGAGTCAGTGGGTCACAGTGAGTTTGAAGCAAGCCTGGGCTACACTGTGAGTACTAAGAAGGTTTGGGCTACAGAGCAAGGCCCTGTCTCAAATCAACAAGAACAAAAAACAAGAGAAACTGGGTGCGGAGGCACATACCTGCAATGCCAGCACTCTGGAGCCCAAACTAGAGGACCTCAAGTTTCAGACCAACCTGAGCTATGGTGAGACCCAGTCTCAAAATTAGGAGAAGGGGCTGGAAACACGGCTCAGCAATTGAGACCACACGATGCTCTTGCAGAGGACCCAAGTTTGGATCCCAGAACCCACACCAGGCAGCTCACAACCTGTAACTCCAGCTCCAGGGGCAAGGGCCCCAATGCCTTCTTCGGCACCTACACAAGTAACTAAAATACACATACATGCAATTCTTTTTCTCTTTTTTGTTTGCATGTGTGTCTCTTCATGACAGGGTTTCTCTGTGTGGACTTGGGAGATGCCATTCTGTATATGTTTCTCATACTGGTTAATAATAAAGCACTGTTGGCCAATAGGAAAGGAAGATAGGAGGGACTAGGAGACAAGGAGGAAATAGGAAGTAGGAAGGAGGAGTCAAGATGGAGAGTCAAGAGAAAGCAGTATGCCGCCGGCTCCCCGGTAAGAGAAATACATAGATCAGCAGAAATGGGTTAATAATTAAGGCAGAGCTAGCCGATAAGAAACAAGTAACCAGGCCAACAGCATTGTATCAAATACAGAGTCTCTGTGTATTATTTGGGGCTGGCGCGGCGGCAGGACAATACCAGGCAGAAAAACCGTACACCTTACAGATGGTGCCCATGTGGCTAGTAAGAACTTCCACTTAAAATTTAACAAAAGCTTAAAAAAGGGTTTTAGAAACTAAAGAACAGAGACAAGCAAGGTTTCTTAGTGCAGCATTTTTCTCAGTTGAACTCTGCTTTGCTAGAGACAAGCAGATATTCGCGCGGCTCCTTTAAGGGAAGATTCCTGACTCAGCTTAAGCGGCAAAAAACCGCACAGCTTTCAAATAACTCTGCTAACAATTTATTGGTGTGTATGAGAGATGGCAATGGCAGTGACCACATCTCCAAGCTGGCAGCATGCTTTCTGGGTGGCAGCACAGACCAAGGCGGTGAGCACAGCTTTCTGTGCTGGCGGTAAAAGTACCTGCCACCATCTTTGGTAAACCGCGGCTGACACAGCTATGACTTTCATTTTATCAATGTTGTTTACCAGATAAAAGACTTGTGGCCAGACAAAGATAAAGATTTACAGTAAAGACAGATTCATATTAAGAAAAACCTCTAAAGGTTTACAGTGTGTTTTAAAATATACGTAGACATAAAAAAAATGGTTTTAAAGAGACAAAGAGGAACTGGGTGTTGTAGCACACGCCTTTAATCCCAGCACTCAAGAGACAGAGGCAAGCAGATCTCTGTGATTTGTAAAGTAAACCTGGTATGCCGAGTAAATTCCAGGACAGATAAGAGTTACACAGTAAAACCCTATGTCAAAAAATGAAAAAATAAAAGTAAAATAAACAGAGTAATAATAAAGCCACGTAAAGATGAAAAGCTCAGAGAGAATCTGGTTACTGTATGCTATTGTGTTGTCTCTGCATTGTTTGACTGCTGAGAAAATAACAACTGATAAAGGAAATGCTGCTGCATTAATTCAATTTATATATTTTAAAAATGCTTTGACTCCAACATTTAAGTTCAAGGACAAGTTACTGGGGAAAAGGATTTCTATTTTTGTTTCCACAGAAAATAACAGGCTGTGGATTCCTTACAGACTAATGTGGTTTGATCAAGCCAGGCCCCCTGAAACAGTCGCTGATGATCCAACATTCAAAACAGCTTGGACAAACCAGCCTTGCAGACTACAGCCAAGATTTCTGCAACTTCTTAGGATCCCCATGACAGCGCCCCCTATCAGCAGGAAGTAGTTTGGAACGAACGACGCCCAAATTCCCAAATATTGTTTATAAATGTTTGGTTTCATTTAAATGGACTTGGTTATAAATGGGTAATGATCGCAGCCAATTATTTTTAAAGGTAAAAAGGGAATTATGGTATTGATATGATTACTTTGTATTGGAATGGATTTTCATTTATTGATACAATTTAAGGTCAATTTTGTGATGTATATATTTCTCCTTTTGTTTAGGTATTGTGTTTATATAGTTCATTCAGAAACATATTGTATAATGTACTACAGATTATAGATAATTACCTATGATAGTCAAAGCTTAGAGTTAAGTTAGTTAGGTTTTTCAAGATACACAGAGATGTATTTGAGATAGATAGGCATTCTTCAAACCTTTCAAAGACCTACAGAATATGGCATTTAAAATGGATTAGGGTTTTACTTGACAATGAGACATAATTGCTCCTGGTAACACCACCTGCGTCAAAAAGGAAGATGGACATTAAAGAAACACGTTATGGAGTTTACTTCCAATATGGCAAGACTAGCCATTTGGACAAAATACTGCTCTTGTCTGGACTGTTTGACTTTGTGCTATATAAACTGGACATGCAGGGCCCACAGAAAAGTGACTGCTGATTCAAGATGGACATTGCTACAGAGTTCCTGCTTCATGGAAGAGTCTGCGAGACAGTATGCAGGACACAGAGAAAAGTGACTGTCAAACTGCCAATACAAAAAGACAGTTTAAAGTTTCCTGCGTTGCTGAAGAGTCAGCTAGACACACTATGGCCTATGGGCTGAAGATGGAAGATTACAAAAGAACTTCGGGTGACCAGGCAGTGAGTTGTCTCTGTCATTTCTAGAGTTTATATATTATCCTTCTGTGGTCTTTGAAGGACTTGAAGACAGAGAGTTATGGTTACAGTTTTCCTTAGTATTAAAGATAAGTTACTTAGACTTTAGACACACAAAGATATGATAGATGATGGAATATTTTCTTCAAATCTTGCTAAATGTTAATGGACTAAATAGTGTTAACTGTGATTCTTATTTGATAACTGTTATGTGATATATTTTGCTATGTTAAGGTTAAAACCCTTCTTTTTATTTAGACAGAAAAGAGGAGATGATGGGAGATGCCATTCTGTATATGTTTCTCATACTGGTTAATAATAAAGCACTGTTGGCCAATAGGAAAGGAAGATAGGAGGGACTAGGAGACAAGGAGGAAATAGGAAGTAGGAAGGAGGAGTCAAGATGGAGAGTCTGAAGAAAGCAGTATGCCGCTGGCTCCCCGGTAAGAGAAATACGTAGATCAGCGGAAATGGGTTAATAATTTAGGCAGAGCTAGCCGATAAGAAACAAGTACCTGGCCAACAGTATAATATCAAATACAGAGTCTCTGTGTGTTATTTGGGGCTGGCGCAGTGGCAGGACAAGACCAGGTGGCGGCAGGTGGAAAAAAAATGTACTCCTTACAGGCTGTCCTGGAACTGGCTCTGTAGACCAATCTGGCCTCAAACTCAGAGATCCACCTGCCTCTGCCTCCTGAGTGCCTGGATTAAAGCTGTGCACCACCACTGCCCGGTGATAAGTATTTTTTTTAAATCTAAGCAAAACAACAAAAATGGCATTTCTGTGTCTTGACCATACTCTCCCAAGGTGATCACTACTCCATTATCCCACCCCAGCATGAAGGTCCAGAGTGTGACTCTCAGCCCACGTACCCAGATGCCAAGAAAACAGCCACAGCATTGACTTCGTCCTGTTTATTGGGGGCCACTGTGGGCGGGAGGCACAATAAAGTCACTTTGCATCAACTCCCTGACGCCACCCCAGCTAACAACCTCATGTATAAATATATATATATATATATAAAGTCAGTCAGTAGAAAAGGAAGACGTTAGGGCTTAGGAAGAGGTAGGTTCCCACCCTCACCAAGCCCATCTGTGTGGGCCAGGAAGCCATGGTTCTGGAGAGCGCCGGAGCACAGGGACAGCAGCATCTGCCCCATTCCAGAGGCCTGGAGTCTTTGGTTCAAACCAGGTAGTCCATGGTTAGGGCCAGAAGCCCCACCCACTTGTGCTTCTGGGCAACCTGGCAGTTCATTCTGTGTGTAGGGAGGGGCACTTGCACAGTGAGGCAAGGCAGCTCTAGTTCTCAAGGAGAAACCTCTTCCCCTGCCTCGGAAATGCCTTCCTGTCCCTGGACTCTACTGAGACAGGAGAGCCCAGGGGCCGGGCCGGAGGAGGTGCCGCTGGTGCACGGAGGAAGGAAGATGGTCACAGTGCTGGCACAGGTGCCGGTGGCTGTGGTCTGGCTCTGCAGCAGCCACAAGAGTCCATGCAAAGGGGCCTTGGCAGGGAGGAGGTAAGCTGTGCCCCTACGCAGTGGCATCCATCAGGCCTTGGGCAGCATCAGCAGGTGTCCCGCGTCGTCAGACCCTCTTCCTCTCAGCACTTGGATGGCCTCCAGGTGGGGCTGTCACTGCCCCAGGTGGACGAGTAGCTCCTGCAGGTCTTCACAAATGACGCCTGACCCTCTGGGGAACAGAAGCCAACCCGCTGAGGCTCTGGGCTCAGGAAACCAGCTCAGGGAGGGGTCCACGGTTCTTCCAGCTCTCCTAGCTGACCAGGGTGCCCCATTCATGTTCTGCCAACTCTGTCGCGCCACCTGGCTTGTTCCACGTATCTTAGTAAGGGAGCCCAGTGCTGCCCCAAAGGTCCCCCAAAGCTCCTCAGACCACACTGGTCCGGTGACACCTTGAAGCCCCTCATCTTCCATAGGCAGGTGGCAGGCCCGACAGCATCTTAGGGCTCCTCTAGCCAGACACGTGCTAGCTTGCAAGTGAGCCTAGCAGCAGCAGCTGAGATCAGCTCTGGGCCAGCCCCTGAAGGAGGCGGATCAAATTGTCCAGACCCCAGAGGTAGCCATCTTCGCGGTTGCCCTCAGCCCAAGGCAGCCTGTGACTGAGCATTTGGTGGTCAGGCAGGGCCACTGTCTTGCCGAAGTCAATCATCCAGACCTTGGCCAGGCCGGTGTGGTCATGCACAAAGAGAAGGGAACTGCCCACTACCTGTAGCAGTCAGTGAGAAGAGCAGGCATTAGCCAAGTTAGTCCCCAGTGAGCAGTAAAGCAGAGTGGCAGACAGTAGCAATTCTGGGATGAGGCTGCCCAAGTTCAAATCCTGACTCGACTACTTGTGGGCTGTGTAGCCTTAGGCAAGCATTTACCCTCTCTGTGGTACTGCTCCCACATATACAAACTGAGAATATCAGTATAATTTACATAATGTGTTTCAAATGGGTCTCAGAACACAACAAATATATGATAAATGTTAGCAATGATTGTGTGTGTGTGTGTGTGTGTGTGTGTGTGTGTGGTTTTCTGAGGATGACCCAGAGCCTCCAACAAGCTAAGCAAGAGTTCACAGGCTGAACTACATCCCTAGCCCATTGCCTTTTTTTTCTCTCTCATTTCTTGTTTGTCTGACAGGGTCTTATGGAGTCCCAGATGGCCATCTCTACAGCCAAGAATACCCTTGAACTCCAGATCCTCCTGCCTCCACCTCCTATGTGCTGGCCTGAACTCCCAGCCCAACTGCTTCCTCCTCTGAGATGCTAGAATAATGCAAGCAAGCACACTGGGCTATTTGCTGTCATCATTTTTTTAAGCCGCAACACAGACTCAAATGTCGTCAAAGCTGTGACTGGGTCAGCGGACTCAGATGGGACAGAACTGGAAAACTTTCTCCAGAATAGGGCAGTGGCTTCTGAAGCCTAGAGGACTGTGGCTGATGACGTTAGGCAAGTGGCTTCCTTCCTTTGCCCTTGGCGTCCTATCTGTAGAATGGGGAAGTTGGTAACACTGTACCTCCTGGGGTCACAGTACCCTACAAGCCACAGGCTCATCAGTGTCTGCTTCGAGGCACACCTCAGTGGGTGTTGTTAATGGCACTTCAATTGGATTGTTTTTGTTTGTTTGGTTTTTCAAGACAGGATTCTCTGTAGTTTTGGAGCCTATCCTAGAACTCACTCTGTAGACCAGGCTGGCCTCAAACTCACTGAGACCCATCTGTCTCTGCATCCTGAGTGCTAGGATTAAAGGTGTGCGGCATCAACAGCCGGCTTCAATTTACTTGTTTTAGAGACAGTCATTACTGAGTATGTCTGCAATCTAAGCATTTGGGAGGCAGGTGCAGAAGGACAGCCACAAATCTGAGGCCAACCTCGGCCATGTAGTGAGCTCCAGGCCTGCCAAAACTCCATAGTAAACTTGTCTCAAAAAAAAAAGAAAGAAAAGAAAAAGGCACTAAGCCAGTCATGTGACACATCCCTTTAATTTTAGCACTCAGAAGGCAGAGGCAGGCAGATGTCTATCAGCTCAAGGCTACAAAGTGAAACTCTATCTGAAAACCAAATGGCCTGGTAATATTGCTCAAATCACCAATCAAGGCACTTGTCACCAAACCTGATGACCTAAATTCAATTCCTGGGACCCACACGACTGAAGGAGAGAAATGACTCCCACAGGCTGTCCTCTGACCTCCACAAGAGTACCATGGAGGGATATATAGACCCCCATTCAACATTCACATACTCTAAGTATGATTCCGAAAATAACACAACAGGAGTTACTCTTTCTGACAAACTGTGGTTTATAACGCCCTCCCCATCTGTCTTAAACCAGGTTTCAACCCCACCCTGCTCCCAACCCAACCCCTGGACAGGTGGACAGGTGGACAGGAGCCTGTCTAGAGAACCAGAGATGCTGCCACACCTTGGTCTTAGCTACTTGGGAAGCTGAGGCAGGAGGATTGACAGTTGAAGGCCTATAGCTTCGACTACAGGGTGAGCTCAAGGGTAGCCTGGGTAACTTAAATCCTGTCTCAAAATAAAAGAGGCTAACTTAGTCTACACAGAGTTCCAGACTAGCCAAAGATACATAGTAAGACCCTCTTTTTTTAAAAAAAAAAAAAAAAAAAAAAAAAAAAGGATGAAAAGTTGGGGCTACATCTCAGTTGGCAGTGACACACACCCATTGTCCCACACTCAGGAGGTGGCGGCAGGGGGCATCACAAGTACAGGCCACCGTCCTCAGCTGCAAATCCAGGGCAGCCTGGGCTATGAGACAGGGGAGGGTGTGAGGCTGGGATGTACCTCAGCACCTCAGCAGTAGGTAGAACACTTGCCCGGGCAGACGTGAGATCCTAGCTTCAAATACCCAGTACCAAACAGAAAGAGAGAGGCAGACACCAGCTGTGCCTGGACACTGTTGCCATACGGCTAACATCCAGGATTGCTGTGTCTCTCCAACTGTCAGGGAAATTGGAAATGACGATGTCTATGTGAAATTTCATATTTCAAATGGAGGCAAGACACTAGGGCCAGCAAATCCAAACACAAGGAGAGAAGAGGCCTCTCCTTCCCACGACAGTCTTAAGATAGTAACAGGGACAATGGTGACATTTGACCAAAGCAAACATTACGATGCCAGCTGGCATTCGCGATGGCTTACACGGGCTGGGCTCTAATCTATTAGCCTACTTAACCTTTATCAGTGCCCAAGTGGCTGCTGGTGTCCCTCACACTCCAGGCGCCAGAGACCCTGAGGCCTCCTGGGGTGGCTGCCTGAGTTCAGGAGACTAAGGAGAAGCCAAGCTGGGGTTGACACTTGTATAGGCAAGACTTCCAGCTCAGGACTTTCTAGAAAAGTTAGACATACCGCTGAGAAGAGGCGAAGGGGCTGAGGGGCAGAAGGAGGGGCTTAGAGGAGAGACAGTACCATCACTTCTCTGACTTGCAAACAGTCTCAGAGGAAGCAAGTCGCCTAAGAGACATGGTGACAAGCATAGTGGCAAACTATAATCCTAGCACTGGTGAAGGCTGAGGCAAGAAGATCAGGAGTTCTAGGCCAGCCTAGGCGACACGCAAATTTGAGGCCAACCTGGGCTATGTGAAACCTACAAAACAAAACGAAAACCCCTGTGGTCTGAGGAGATGGCGCAGTGGGTTAGGGCACTTGCTGCCAAGCCTGGTGACCTGAGTTTGCTCTCCAGGATCCACATGCTAGGAGAAAACACCCAGGGAGGTACTCAGAGGCACACCATTGCACAAGCTGATTCTACGAACCCACAATAATGAGCATGAATGCCTCTGTAGGCCCTGGAGGCCACTTTCCAGGGCCTTGCAATCCTCAGCCGTCCTAGGAATCCTTGTCAGAGTACATGAAACCGTCTGTGTGGGACAGACCGGGCATGGTGTCATCTCTGCATGTGGGAAGCTAAGGCGGGAAAAGTGTGAGTATGAGGCCACCCTGGGCTGTATGCAACTGTGTCTCAAGAATAAACAAATAAAAATGAAAAAGAAACCATGCCTCTCTCCCAAAGAAAAAAGGCAAGGATTGGGGATGTGCTCAGCCTGGTGAGTGAGAAACAGTGGTTTTGACTCCCAGCCTTAAACATGAAAGGAAAGCGAGGAGAATCCAAAGTCCTTAAATCTCCGGGCGGCCCGGCTTGAATGCATGCTCCCACGCCTTCCCTTCCGGAACCCCCTTTGCCAAGGCCCTAAACTGGAGCCCACATACACCTATGGCACCCAAGGCTCGCACCTCATGGGTCTTGAAGAAGGGAGAGTTCTCCAAAGCCTCGCGGAGGTCCTCCAGTCGCGCCACGTACTTTCTCTGAGTGTGAGAGGGAGGGTAGCTCATTAGCGCAGAAATGCAGCAAGCCCTTGGTGAGCCCAAGACCTCACCCTATCATCCTAGACAGTCAGTCAAGCTGAGATAAAGGGAACCAAGGACTTGGGGGATGAGGGAGAGCTGGCAGGAAGCCAACAAGGAAGTGCTCACAAGAGTGAGATACAGTAAATAGATCCCCGCTGATCCCCACAGCTCCCCACGCGAGGTGGGGTCGGCTCCCCCTCCCCTGAGCTGGGGGCCCTCATGACAGGACCTGTTCTGCCCACTGGAATGTGGCCATGTTAAGCCTGGACACCGGGGGTCTCATACGGAACTTGCTATCTTAGCTTCCTGTTCCCACGGTGACTATATCAGACACCCAAGTCCCGAACAAGACCGTGAACCAAGGTAGCCGTAAAAGCCATGCTAGCCGGGACCAGTGATGGCAGACTGTCAGCAAGGCTGGCCAGGAGCAGCCCAACCCAGCCCATCCCAAAGCCAAGGAGCATGACTCAGATGCGACAATAAACCACCATTGCTGTCTTTAGTGGCGTCAGGGGACCAGCGTCCCACTTACCAGGATTCCAAGGTCCCCATCTACGAAGTCTTCCAACACCTTTGTCACCTGCTCCAGCGCTTGAGTCTTCTTGAAATTGGTGTTGCAGGTCCCATCGGCCTTCTGCGAAGCAAGATGCAGAGTACCGTCGCGGGTGCTGCCTCACCCCCAAGATAACCCCTATTCAGGGGACACAGTCCCCTTGCCTGGCCAACTCAACCCCGCAGCGTATCCTTCCACATCTAACAACATAGCCGTGGATGAGCCCATCTTGCAAAACAGGCTGTTAGGGGACCGAGATTTGGCTTCAGCCATGATTCGGCTACTGTCTAGCAGACTGGTCTTAAGCAAGTCCATCGCTTTTTGAGACAGGTCCTGTGTATCTGAGGCTGACTGAAAAACTCCCTACGTAGCTAGAGCTGGCCTTGAACGCCTGGTCCTCTTGCCCGCTTCTCCCAGGGCACTGTGTCACTCAGCTAAAACAAGTCCTACTCTGAGCCTCGGTCTCAGACGCCTCGCCTGCGGGTCTCTACCGCCTAGAGCTGGTCCGAGGAGGATTCGAGGCTCACCACATAAATGAGCAAACGTTCTTTGTGCTTAAGCTGACGTCACACTCCTGACCCCTTGCTTCAACTCCCCAAGTGCTGGGATTAGCCATGAGCCGCCACACCTGGCCATTCATTCTGACTTACTATGATTAATTATTCAGTTATCAAGCAGATGTGGGGTGGGGACCCTGAACCGAGGGTCTCCCTCACACACGCTAGGCAAGTGCTCTATACTATACTGTAGCGCCGGTCTTTATTTAGTTGTTTTATCTGCCGTGCTTAGTGCTACTGAGAATTAAACTTAGGGTCTCACACATGCTCACAGCCTTCTGACACGGAGGTCTCTTTCTTTCTTTTTAACTTCTTCTTTTTGAGACAAGGTATCCCTAAGTTGCCCAGGCTGGTCCGGAACTTACTCAGACTGAAGCTGCGATCCTCCTGCTTTAACCTCTTCGTGGGGACAAAAGGTGTAAACTACCACATCCAGCTTTCCAAGTATATTTAATTTATGAAATAAAAACTTAAAAGATCCTTCCAATCACCCAATCACTGCATTCCACAATGGAGGGAAGAAGATCAGGTTTGGGAGGCCAGGGAGGCTGGGACAGAGAAAAGGCTGGACTTGGGGAAAGAGAAGTTGGTGCATGAAAATGCCCCAGTAGACACACAAAGAACCCTTGTCTCTGCTAGACACGGGGTTGGGAAGCGGAGCCGTCCCCAGACGAGGCTGTGGGTTTGCTTCCTTCTATCGGCCACTGTCACTCATGCTCCATTAGAAGCCAGCCACTGTTCCAGTCCTGGAACCCTGAGTGTCAAAAGAACTGGCTGGCTCCTGGCCCTCACCTTGACGCCTTCTACCCGGAAGCCTAGGGTGGAAGTGGAGCTCAGAGTCTCCCTCCACTGCATGTAGCGAGGCTTGGTGACTGCGCCCTGAGCATGCTCCTCTGCAGTAGGGGCCCCGGGGTCCACTGCCACCATCTTCTCATACATGTCTTTCCGGGGCCTGGGCCGTTCTCGTGCCTTCACCAACTCCTCTTCCAGGTAGGTCCTGAGCACACGGGATGTGACAAAGGAAACCATTAAGCACGGAGCTGGAAGGCTCACCCTTCCTGATGGGGTGAGGTGCCAGCCTTGGAGCCCAGCACTTGGAGGCAGAGGCTGGTGGACCTCTGGGGGTTAAGCAGAGCTAGATAGTGAGACTTTGTCTCGAAACAATAGAACAAACAGAAACCCAGTAAACTCTACACGTTAAAAACAACAAAGCTTATAGAAGAAAACAAGAGGATAGTTTCATGCTATTATAGTAGGCAAAGATTTTTTTCAAACGCAAGGCCATTAGCAACGACAATACCAAAAACAACCTCTGACAAAGCAGAAAGTACATCTGCTTACTTGGCTGCCACTTACCTAAAACACTTGCGACCAGGAGCTGGAGAGGAGGCTTAGTGGTTTAGAGCACTGTGCTCGTTCAGACGACCTAAGTTCCAGGCTCAGAACCACAAAGTGGCTACAAGCGTCTGCAGCTCCAGTGCCAAGGGATCTAACACCCTCTCCTGGCCTCCTTGGGCATCAGACACACAGATACATGTGCAGGCCCAATATCCACACACATAACAAACAAATATCCCCAGCACCCACATGGCAGCTCAAACTGTCTGTAACTCCAGTTCCAGGGGATCTGATGCCCTCTTGCACTTGGGCACTAGGTACACACATGGTGTAGGCATGTAACAGGCAAAACACCCCTACATATAATATTTTTAAAAGTAAATAAATAAATAAAAGGAAACTTCAAATGAATAAAACATACTTGGAACCAAAAGTACTTCTGATTTTGAAGTTTTCAGATTTTAGAATTATTGCATGAAGATTCAGATTTTGAAAAACACAGTTTTTTATTGTGGCAGAGGGAACACACTTATATGGCGGTAAGGGGAGAGTTTTCAGGAGCTAGCTGTTTGTCCACATATGGGTCATGAGGTGGGACACAGGCTGTCATGTTGGGTGGGCAGCACGAACTTTTACCCAGTGAGATGCACCACCAACCCCAGGTTTTCCTTATTTTATTTAACTTTGAGACAGGGTCTCACTGTGGAGCCCCCCTGGTCGGGAACTCACTGTATAGACCAGGTTGACCTCAAATTCATAGAGATCCAACTGCCTCTGTGTCCTGAGACCTGGAATTAAAGGCAAGACCATTACTTTTATTGATTTTAATTTGCTATTTATATGTGTGAGTCTGTGTGGCTATATGGACATCAGGTACATAAAGGAGCCCTTGGAAGCCAGCAGCAGGCATTAGGTTCCCCTGGGGCACGAGTTGCAAGCCGTTTTGAGCCACTACATGGGTGCTAGGAATCCAATGCTTGTCCCCTGGAGGAGCAGCCAGTGTCTGTCACCAAAGTCATCTCTCCAGCCCCAGAATTATTTTGAAAGAGGAACAAAGTTGATTTATCAAGAGAAAGCGGGGAAGCCCGCAGACTGGGAGAGGGTCCAGGGAGAGAATAACAGAACTGCACATTTGTTGTTGTTGTTGTTGTTGTTTAGGGTTGTTTAATGGCTTTAAGAGAGTGAAATGGCAACTGCAAGGATGTGGGTTTAGTCCTCAGTTCCAGGGAAAGAGAGACAGAGAGTGAAATGGGAAAGTTAGAAAATATACACATACCACTGTGTGTGTGCGCGCACGCCTGTCTAAAACTAAGGATGCATAACCAGACTATGTAAATGATAAAAACCGAGAGAGAAGGAATGGGACATGGTGGTTGTGGTGGTTTAAAAGAAAATGGCCCCCAAAGGGAGCCGCACTATTAGGAGGTGTGGCCTTGTGGGAGTGGGTGTGGCCTTGTGGGAGGAAGTGTGTCACTGTGGAGGTAGGCTTTGAGTTCTCCTATGCTCAAGCTACTCCCAAGGTCACAGTTGACTTCCTGTTGCCTTCTGATCAAGGTGCAGCCAGCACCATGTCTGCCAGCCTGCCTCTCTCTGTCTTCTCATCATGATGACAATGGACTGAACCTCTGAAACTGTAAGTGAACCACCACAAATAATTATTTTCTTTAGAAGAGTTGCCGTGATCATAGTGTCTCTTCGCAGCAACAGAAACTTAACTACGACAATGGTGTATATTTATAATGGTAACACTTAGGAGGCAAGAGGATTGCCATAAGTCTGAGACTAGTTGGGTCTACATATCAAATTCAACACCAGCCATGGCTATACAACAGATTCTGTCTCAAAAACAAAAGCAAAAAACAAAACAAACAAGACACAGCGCTGTGGATGTAACTCAGTGATGTAGCTAACAGGGCTTTCCTGGCAGGCACAAAGGCCTACATTCAACTCCCAGCTCCAACATAAAATGCCTGAGTAACCACAACCTCCAAAGTGAGTCCTTAACTCTAGGAACTAATAATTAAATAAGTACAACTCTGGCATGGGGGCTGGGAATGTGGCTTGGTTGACAGGCTAACAGCCTAGCGTGTATACAGCCGTCAGGGTTTGATCTTCAGCAATCACAGCACTTGGGAGCTGAAGACTGAGCCAACACACTCAAGGCTATCCTTGGCTGCACAGCCAGAGGGAGACCAGCCTGGGTTACAGGAGACACCCTCAAAAAGAAAAGAACAAAACAAGCCCCCCACCAAAAAAATCCAGCAACAACAACAGCAAACACAATGACATTCCATTATCTATCCAGTAGTTTAAATTAATGAACCGAGTAATACCAAGATAGAATAAGAATACCAAGAAGGAACAGCAGGCCGCACACCTGGGACCCTCGTGCACCACACCTGGGACCCTCACGAGACACAGGTAGGAAGGAGTACACAGTGATGCAGGTACTTTGATTTGACTTGGCCCTATTTTCAAAACCGTCCGTCCACCACCTACCCTGATTGTCCCACGGCTGTCCCCATCGTACCTGCTGCCCATCTTGCAGTCCATGATAGAGGGGCCCTCAAAGTCTGCCAGGAGGTCTTCCATCTGGTTGAAGGCCTGGCCGTCCCGATGCACCATGCCGTAATAAGCTGGCACAAAAGGCCGCAGGGGGTCTTCCATCAGCTGCTCCAGGCTGAGCTGCTCACACTGGCAGAAGCGTTTCAGGATCCGACCATCCTCGCCGGCCTGGAAGTTCCCTGTGGGAAGCAAGACCAAGGAGAGACTGCATCAGCTAGAGACCCCCCCACCCCCGTCTCCCTGTGCGCATCATGCCAGCCAATGTCACCCTGCTGGACACTCCAGCAGCGCTGTCTCTCCCTCCCTTTCTGGTGGGTTGTTTTGAGACACAGCTGGCCTTGAACTCATAAATCCCAGAAACTAGGAAGACTGACACAAGTTTGAGCCCAGTTCAGAATACCCAGTGAATTGCAGGCAAGCCTGGGCTTCACAGCGAGATTCCAGGTTTAAAATAAATAAATAAATAAATAAGTTTCATAATTCTGGTATTATCTGGAGTACATACATGGCTAAGGTACAATTCCAAACCCCTTCCCCTTCTTGTTTTTAGGGGAAAGGGATATTTTGTTTTGCTTTGTTGACATAAGGTCTTGCTATGTAGCCCAGGCTGGCCTCTAACTTGGCAAATCCCTACCTTATCCTTCCAAGTGCTAGGTCTATAAATATGCGCCACGCCAGGCGTGGTGGTGCAATATTTGTTATCCCAGCATTTGGGAGGAAGAAGCAGGAGGATCTGTGTGTGAAGCCTGTCTCGTCTACACCGTGTGTTCCAGGCCAGTCAGGACCCTGTGAGACCCCGTCTCAAACAAACAAGCAAATAATAGGAAAATAAATGTGTGCCACCAGCCTAGCTTTCAGGTTCTATTCTCCAAAGATGGTGGCAACAGTGATTTCTGTCCCACCTGAGGGACTTACTGTGTGCCTAGGCACACAAAGGCCGTGTGGCTTTGGTCTGAGGGTCTGCTATGCGGGAGACACAGGAGGGAGGTTTCGGGGACTCATCCCGCAGCCTATGTCCCACTCTCTCAACAGTCTGCTCTTAACTCCTCAGTTAATCCCGCAAAGGCACTAAGGTTTGTTCTGTTTTAAATGTGGGAAAGCAAGAGCCTGCCTAGGGTCACCCCAAATAAAGAGCAGGTGGGAGGCAAAGCAGCACCCACCCACTGTAAGCTGAGACTCAACCGCCCAACACAAGGCTAAGGAACCATCCCTACCAGACCTAACAGTTACTAGGCCTAGCCAGGCATAGTTGCACGCCTTTGACCCCAGCACTCAGGAGGCAGGGGCAGGTGGATCTCTGTGAGTTCAAGACCAGTCTGCTCTATAGAGTGAGTTCCAGGCCAGCAAGGGCTACATAGACCCTATCGCAAAATAAAATAATTACTAGGCCAAGTGTTTCTCATGGAAGCCCCATAGGGGCTGCGACCCAGACGACAGAAAACGCAGTGAAACTATACAGGGCCACGCTTCCCCTAGACAGAACACCCATGCCGACCTGTCTGTCTACAGATTCCCCTGCACGTCCATGCCAAGCCCGCACTGTCTGTCCATCTCCCTCAGCCTCACCAGCGTCTGTCCGTCTGTCCACTTCCCCCCAGCGTCACCAGCGTCCGTCTGTCCATCTCCCTCAGCCTCACCAGCGTCTGTCCGTCTGTCCACTTCCCCCCAGCGTCACCAGCGTCCGTCTGTCCATCTCCCTCAGCCTCACCAGCGTCTGTCCGTCTGTCCACTTCCCCCCAGCCTCACCAGCGTGTCCAGAGAGCTGGACCCAGGGGTAGTGGTGCTTATGGAAGGAGACCACGAAGGGCGAGTACTTGAGGACTGTCTTCAGCTTCCTCCAGGGCTTGCTCTGTAGGGAGGGTGAGCACGAGGTATGAGTCAGACAGAGTTACTGCCCTGGGGGCTTCATGGGATCATGGTCCCCAAGCTTCTCAGGGTGGCCGAACCCCACTTAGACCAGTGATGGTGAGACCACCTGGCGGGGAAAGTCTGCCTGTTACTTTCTTTGTTCTGTCTCTGTGTGTCGTTGTCTCATGAGGAAGGGTAGGCTAGGAGTGGAGGCTAGCCTCAGAGACAGATGGCAAAAGTGGCGGAGGCTCTGGCTGGTCCCCTTGCCGATAGACCCTTGTCTTCTGATTTACTTTTATTTTATTGGTGCTTTGCCTGAATGTATGTCTGTGTGATGGTGTTGGGTCCTGGGGTTACAGACAGGTGTGAGCGGCCATGTGGGTGCTGGGAATTGAACCTGGGTCCTCCGGAAGAGCAGCCAGTGCTCTTAACCGCTGAGCCGTCTCTCCAGCTCCCTTTGTCCTCTTGAACTGAGGTTACTGGCTTGTTGTAGCAGTGAAGTGTGGCTGGAAGTGTTACTTCCAGAGGGAAGCTGCAGAGCCAATTCAAGTGCTCCATACAGAAGGTGGGGAGCTGAGGGGGGGGACAGACCCCAACTCCGGGGTGGGGGGGACAGCACAGACTCCCAGCCCACAACCACCGCTCACTGGTGTAGTAGGAACTGGAAGTAAACTTCTGCTGTTGCTCTAAGTCATTCAGACTTGGGGGCAATGTGTTACTATAGCATATCTCTTTATAAGAACATTAGGCTTATTTATATTTATCAGTTTTTACTACATGTGTGTATGTGAAGCGTATGCGTGCCTGGGGCCCACGGAGGTCAGAAGATGGCATTGAGTCTCCTGAAGCTGGAGTTTATGGATGGCTGTGCATCATCCTGTGGGTGCCGGGAACTGAACCCAGGTCCTCTGAACCCCGCCATAGAAGACCTTCGTCTGCTTTGACTGACAGGGAGACAAAGAGACCTTAAAAGAAATAGAGGGGGACACGAGAGATGGCTCCGGTGTTCTTACATAGGTACTGTTCTCACAGAGGACCCCAGTTACCCACACTGGATACCCCCTAGGGCAGTTCACAACCACCTGTAACTCCCGCTCCAGAGCATCCCACACCCTCTGCTGGACTCCATAGGCACAAACTCATGTGCAACCTCCATCCCTACACAGGTATATGCATGATTTAAAAAAGGGAAAATCTCATGCAGTTACACTTTTAACCCCAGCACTTAGCAGTCAGATTCTGATTTCAAGGCCAGCCTGGTCTGCATATCCAGGCTGGCCAGACTCACATAGTGAGACCCTGCCTCAAAAATAAATAAATATGAAATATTAATTTCTTTCTTTCTTTTTTTTTGAGAAAGGGCTTCTCTGTGTAATACTGGCTGTCCTAGAACTCACTTATATAGACAAGGCTGGCCTTGAACTCATGGAAATCGCACACCTCTGTATCCTGAGTGCCTGGATCACTACACCTAGCTGAGACCCTGGTTCAGAGCGACAAAACTTAGGGCCAGCGAAATGGGGGGGGGGGGCTTGCTGAAGACTTCAGTTCAGTCCCCAGAACTCACACTCTGGAAGGGGAGAACCAATCCCCAGAAGCTCTGATCGGGCCTGAACACAAAAGAAAGACTACAGAAGGACCGTGGGAAGGACAGACGGACGGAAGGAAGGGAGAGAGCTGGGAGCGGAAGGAGAGGGAGGTGCCACACCACACAGGGCTCTGCACCTGACCCCAGCACCGCTCAAAATGAACATACACAGCAGGCTTCAACCAATGGAGCCACGCTGCGTCACGTCTGATGCAGGCGTGTGTGTGTGTGTGTGTGTGTGTGTGTGTGTGTGTGTGTGTGTGAGCTTGCATACCCGCTCACCCCAGGCCCTCGGTGGCCCTTAGTGTCTGCAGGGAAGGAAGCTGTGTGATCGTCCTGCATGGCCCCCAGGGTCAAAGGCACAGTTTTCTCCCAGCTCTCCAGCAGATAGCAAACTGGAGGGAGCCAGGTGCTAAGCAGGGAGTCAGGGTGTAGGACAGTCTGGGATCCAGGAAGGGCTATGTTCTCCCAGGGGAGGAGATGATTAATCAAGGTTCCTGTTTACTGAGCACCTGGAACATTCCAGGCACCATGACAAAGACTCTGTGTGCCATACCCTGTTTAATCCTAAAAACAGCCCCAGGAAGATTGCTGTATGTGTCACAGGGGAGGAAACAAGACTCAGAGGAGAAGCCACTGGCCTAACGTCACCAGGCCCTGTGCTGGGTTTCTGGTTCCACTCTGACCCCATTGCCCTGGGGCTTATCCCCTGCACTCCAGCCGGACTAAAGCTTATGGGAGGAGAGAGGACTGCTGGGTTACAAGTGTGTCTCTAGCACCTGGTGTGACACCAGAGGTCTCTCAAAAACACTGGAATAAAAGTTATTTGACACTGTCTTTTTCTATCATAAGCATGTGGTAAACCATTTCTCTCTCCTGTTCACCAGTGCTGGAGATGGATGGAATCCCAGACCTCCCACATGCCAGACACAGACTCATCACAAAGGCTCTGCCACTGAGCCACGCCCCCAGCCCCTCCTTAGGTGTCTTCCAGTGAGCCACACTCCCCAGGCCTTTCTCTTTTAATCAGGGCTTTCTGGAAACCATTCACCATGCTCTTAGCTCACATGTCCCCTCCTCCAGGAAGCCCTCTCTGATACGCTAGGTCTGACCAACTGTATACTAGAGACTACCACAACCCCCTAAGCTTCTCTCATCCTGCCCTGTTGCTAGTGTCTGGAGATCCAGCTGTCTTGAGGGAGGCAGCTCCCTGTGAGTTCAAGGTCACTCTAGTCAATGTAGGCATTCCAGGCCAGCCAGGACTACATGGTGAGACTCTGTTAAACCTGATAGTCATGAGGGTAATGTTTTGGTCTCACATTTGTCTCAGAAGATAAAGAAAAGGGGGGGGTCCCGTCTTGGTCACCAGTACCCCAGCAGCTTAGAAACAATTACTATCTATTTAGAACAGGATGGGGAAAAGGAAAGGCCACTTAGGTCAAGGTCACCTTCAGTTCCACAGTGGAGTTCAAGGCCAGCCTGAGCTATGAGACTTTGTTTTAAAAACAAACAAGGGTGGGTGGGGCGGGGGGGGGGGCATAGCTGGGACTCCGTGGTCAGATGTAATTTAAAAATGAAAGAGGAGGAAGCAGGGGACGACACGTGCGTGCGGACGGACTGGAAGGCAGCGGAGCAGGGCAGCGTGCACTCAGGTTAGCAGCAGCACCCCTGGGGCAGTGACCGTCTGAAGACAGGAGGCTGACACAGCCTTGTTCCCAATGGCTTCACTGGCAGAGTATGGCTACTGAGGGGGCTCCTGCAAACACGAAGAGACCTTAGGAAGAAGGCGAGATGGAGACAGGAGCACGGGCCAGAGGGGCTAATGGAAAGCTTGCAGCTCAGCTAGAAATAAGTCAAGACTTGTGCTTTTGACTTGACTTAGACAACACTGAGCTCAAGATGCCTTGCTGTGCCTCAGTTTTTCCATCTCTGAAACAGAGACGCGAAGCGAAGAATGCTCGCCTCCCAGGACTGCTGGGACTCAGAGGCACACAGCGTTAGGGCTGCAACAGCAGAGGATTCAAAGTTCCAGGCCAGGCTAGACCACACAGAGAAGCCCAATGTCAAAACAAATGGGAACAGAAAGAAGCGAGGGAGGGAGGAAGGGCAGGCAAGGAAACACTGGGTACAGACTCGGCTACTGGGGAGGCAGACAGAGGCAGCAAGACGGTAAATTCAAGCCTGCTGGGACACACACCAAGTTCAAGGCCTGGTAACATGGAAAAACCCTGAAAAACAGGACTAAGAACGCGACTTAGTGTCGCCTAGCATGTGCAAGGTCCTAGGTTCATTCACTTCCTCAGGTTCAAACACACGCACACACACACACACACACACACACACACACACACACCGGGCCTGTGAGATAGCTCAGCAGATAAAAAATGTGCTTGCTGCCAAGCCAGACAGCCTGAGTTTAATCCCTGGATCCTTCACAGTAGAAGGAGAAAACTTCCCCAACTTGTCCCGTGACCTTCATGTGCACGCTGCAACATGTACATATCTGCACATAGTACGTAAATAATACATGAAACAAAACAGCAAAGCAAAGAAGGGTAAAGTACTTTGAGCTGGGCATGGTAGTTTTATCCAAGCATTCAACAGGCAGAGGCAAGAGTATTGCCAAGGTTCAAGACCAGCCAGGACTATATATCTACACAGCAAGTAGCCTGTACTACTTAGCAAGTCTCAAAGACAGATGGGGGGGGGGGGATAGGTGAGAAGTGGGGGAGGGGATGGAGGCAGACATCTAGGCAGGCACTTAATAGTTTCTAGTGTATGCGGAGAGTTTGAATATATAAATTTGGGGATGGGTGAGGGGAGTGTTTCATTCTGCAGCTCAGGCACATTTCAAATTTAGGCTTCAGCTAGGTGTGAGCCACAGCACCAAGCCCAGGGGCAAAACCTTTGTCTGTTTATAGATAGGGTCTCACTATATCATCACCCTGGCTGGAATTCACTGTACACCAGATCTGCCCGCCTCTGCCTAAGGGGTGAAAGGCGTGCACCACCCCTGGCTTCTCGGGGGTCAAATCTTCAGTGTGTGACCCCCCTGGAGGACTGACTTCATCTCTTGTGCCTCAATGTCTTCATCTGTGAAAAAGGGTTAACAACAGTACATGTGTCACAGGGCTGCCCGTGGTGTGGCGAACCAGCGGGAGCGTGCATGACAGTGACGGCTGCGGCCATCCATGTTGCTGTTGTCTTTAGTCATCCAGTCCCAGCTCAGCTGTTCAGAGATGAGAGGGACGTCACAGGGACCAGCTGTGGCAGAAGGCCCGGAGGGTCAGCTCTGCTGCGTGGGCATCAGCACGTCGAGGCAGGTCTGTTTCTCACAGCTGGGGACACTTGTGTGAACACGTCCCTGAGGGAGGTACGCTAGCTAAGGGGGGGCCAAGGTAGGTTCCATGGGCCCAAGCCCAGTAGGAGGACGCCTCAGACAAGCTGGCAAGCACACGGACTCTGAACCCCACCCGGGGCTCTATTCCACACTGCCTCTCCCTCCCTGAACCTGCCCTGCTCGCTCACCTGATTCATCAGAAGAGAGCCACACCCAGGCTGGGGGTGAGGGTGGAAGATGTAAATAAGAGTCTGAAGGGGCCCCTCGGGGAGCAGAGGATTACAGGGGGGACGAGGTGGATGCCTGGGCAGGGTGAGGATCCCGAGCATTGTGCCCTTTGAACATCTAATAGAAAGCTGGAGATAGCCAGCCTTGTCGCTCATGCCTGTAATTCCAGCACTCTGGAGGACTGAGGTAGCAAGATCGTTATCACAGGTTCAAGGCCAGCCTAGGTACATGGTGGGTACCTGAGTAGGCTGAGGCTGAGGATTTCTGAGCATTTTGCCCTTTGAACACTTTTTTTTTAAAGATTGTATTTTTAGTGACGGGTATGTGGGTGTGGGCAGGTGACTGCAGGTACCTACAGAGGTCAGAGGCATTGGATTCCCCTGAAAATGGAGTTACCGGCCGTGGCAAGCCGCCCTACAGTGCTGGAAATGGAACTCTGAAGTCTTCTGCAAGAGCAATAAGTGCTCTTACCTCTACAGCCACCTTTGAATAGTAAATGAAAGCTGGTATAGATGGGTTTGTCGGCTCATGCCTGTCATCCCAGCCTTTGGGAAGCTCAAGGTAGCAAAACTGTCATAAGTTCAAGGCTAACCTAGACACATGTTGGATACCTGGCTATTCCTGACTATTGGGTTGGTCCTTTGCACATCCAATGAAAGATGGAAGTTGTGTTGGCTCATGCAGGTAAGTCCAGCCTTGAAAAGGCTTACTGGGGTGGGGGGGGGGACCAGAGAGATGGCTCAAAATACTTGTGCTCTTGCAGAGGACTGGGGTTCAATTCCCAGCACTGACAGTGGCTCATAACCATCTGTAACTCCAGTTCCAGGGTTTCTAATCCCACCCCACTCGACCTTCCCAGGTAGCACATGCATGCACACAGTACAAATACATACACACAATACGTACACGCAAGCAAAACACTCACACACATAAAATATATTTAAATAAAAAAAATTAAAGGCGTAGGGCATCAGGATGGTCACAAGTTCAAGGCCAGCCTTGCTTCATAATGAATATGGACAGATAAGTGTGGCGGCACGCCCCTGTCCAGAGGCTGTAGCAAGATGGAGTCCAGTCTGCAGGTGAGGCTGGCCTACACAGCAAACTCTCAACTCAATGGGGGTAGGGCAGCACAGAAGAACATGTCCATAATCCCAGCATTTAGGGCAGCAGAGACTAGAGTATCAAGAGTTCAAGGTCAGCCCCAGTTACATAGGAAATCTGAGGCCAGGTTGGATTACAAGAGAATGTCTAAAGAAAAGAGCTGGGTGGTGGCGGCGCACACCTTTAATGCCAGCACTCGGGAGGCAGAGGCAGGGGGATCTCTGTGAGCTGCAGGACAGTTTGGTCTACGGAGCAAGTTCCTGGACTGCCAGGGTGGTTACACTGAGGAACTCTGTCTCGAAAAACCCAAAAGAAAAAAAAGGACAGATTGGCCAAGGGTTCATTGAAGACATCTGAGAATGAGTGTGTACCCTTCTACCTTCAGAGCTGGGTATCAGACCCCCCTCCCCTCCCCAAGAGGACTCAACAGAAGTCACAGATCGTTCCGGTAAAATTATGTGTCCACATAGACCCACACAATAGTACAATGTCAGAGGTTCCTAGGCAAGATGGAGTCGGTCAGAGTTCTCCACTACAGGCTCTTCCCAAGAACAAGAAACTGAGGGGGAAATGAAAGAGGAAAGAATGGGGGACACTAAAAAATGGTTAGTATCCTGGCTGTCAGAAGAGGGCAATGGATGGAAGAATCATCTAGGGATGTAATCGCTGGCAGTGGCTAAGAGGACCCTGAAAGGACAGTTTCTACGCGAAGGCAGAAAGGATAGGAGGGTAAGAGATGCAGGGTGGAGAGCACGCTCTGGGGATGACAGGGTCCTACTCACTCCAGATCTGTCCTCCGGATCGCTGGTACCTCCGCCCCCAGCAACCAAGTCATCCTCAGATTCATCAAAAGAGGAGGCAGAGGAGAAACCGCCTGTGCCCCCCTCAATCCGGGACGGGGGTCCCACCGGCTGCGCATCAGGCTCAGGAGTCTCAGGGGTGATGATAAGGCGGGGCACGGGACACAGGGAGCTGCACTCCAGCTGTGAGCACAGGTTAGTCACCAACTCCCCTGGCTCCGGCTCCTCTAACGGATCATCTCCATTGGATTCCCCCAAAGCGCTGTCAGCCCAGGGACCATCAGTGCCAGGTTGAATCCAGGCACCTTCAGGGTCTTGAAAATCACCCCTTCCAGGCTGTTTCCAGGCTCCCTGAGTACTCTGTCGCGTGAGGGAGCCATGGGTTTGGGACTCTGTCCAGGAGCCGTCGGTGTCATGTGGTGTCCTGGAACCGTCCGTGGATGATTCTGTGCAGGGGCCGTCAGCCCTTGGTTCGGGTGAGGGGCAGACTCCGTCTGGGTGAGTTTGGAGTTTGGACGTGCTGTGGTGGGTCCGGAGGTGATCCACCCAGGGCTTGTCCCTCTCTGGCAGAGTCTGCCACTGCTCGAGTCTTTCCAGTCCGGCCCAGGACTCATCAAACCCTGGCTGGGTACGGAGGCTGGCTCTCTTTGGCTGAGGCTGGAGGTTGGATCTATGAGGGTCGGCTGGAAAGCCATCTGTCCAGGAACCGGCCATGTCCATGTCTGCCCGGGGGCCGTTCCTTTCTGGATGTGTCTGGAGGTTGCAGCCGTCTAGCTCCTTACGTTGGCTGCGCTCCTCCGACTCTGCCCCTGAGCCAGCTGCCTCGCACACCGCGTGTCCGTCCCCACGGGATCCTGCTTGCGGACCGTCTGGACACCGCACAGGCCCGAGATCGGTCCTCTCCGCCTCCGAGTGCAGGCTGGACCCCTCGGTCCAGGCCTGAGGCCCGCCCCCCTCTGGCCGTCCCGTCGGGCCACCCGCTCCCGGCCCAGGTCGCTGCAGTCCCGGCTGCCGCCGCCGCCCACCTCGCAGCGCCTCCAGCCCCATGCGGGCCCCGGCGGGCAGCGCGCCGGCCTCCGCCTCGCTCAGACTCCCCCGGCACGGGCAGCGCCTCATGCCCGCTCCCTCGGCTCGGGCTTCGGCCGGTCGGGCCCCACCTTCCCCTTTAAATCCTACGAGGGGTGTGGCCGGGGAGCCTGGACCCGTGGGTTCCGGCCCGCGGAGGCGCCGCGCCGCGCCGCACGGACACGGAGGGGTTAACCGATACTCCACCTCCCGGGGAAAGCCCAAAACACGGCCCCCGCCGGATGTGACGAACGTGGGGCGGGACCCCGGCACCGCAGGTCTCGCTGGGAAGGGACCGCGTCTGGTGCTGGTCCCGGTTGGCGCACGGTGGACCCTTTCCCCCGCATCAATCACATCAGCCTCACTCCAGCCCAGGGACTTGAGCCTCGCACCCATTCAGCATTCAGGGGCAAGATGGGCTTTTCAAAGACGTAGAGATCCCACAGGCGTAAGTGTGAGTGCCTCCGCAGTCGCTTCCCAGCCGTAACCGGGAGCGAGGGTCACCCTCCACTAAAATTACCCCGAGAAGCCTGATTGCCTCGGGGCGCACGGAGGTACAAGCCTGTAAACTCAGCCCTCCCGAGGTGGACGTGGGAGGTTCAAGGTCATTTTAGCTACAAAGTCACTTCCAAGTCTGGTCCACAAGAGACCCTCCCTGTCATAAAACACACACACACACAAACGGGGCGGGGGTGGGGGGAGGAGAGAATGAGATCATTCAGCAGGTCAATCAAGCCTGGACCACATAGCAGAAGGAGATCTGTGCTCCCACCACACAGGATAAATAAATGTTGGCTCGTTTTCTTAAAAAGAATCCCAGGGCTGGAGAGACAGCTCAGCAGGATTGTAGTTTGTTTTCCAGCACCCTATATGGGGACTCATAGTCATATGTAACTATAATTCCAGAGGACTGAACATCCTCTTCTGGCTGTCTCAGGGCATGCATAGGGTGCACAGACATGCATGCAGGCAAAAACACCCATACACACAAAACAAAAATAAGCCAGGGGGTGGTGGTGCGAGCCTTTGATCCCAGCACTCAAGCCAGCCTGGTCTACAGATCAAATTCCAGGGCAGCCAGTGCTACACAGAGAAACTCTGTCTCAATCAAACAAATAATAATAATAATAATGACAAAATAAAGGAATTCCAGGGACTGGAGAGATGTAGTGGTTAAGAGCCCTGCCTGCTCCTCCAGAGGACCCTGGGTCAATTCCCAGCACCCACATGGCAGCTCCCAACTGTCTGTAACTCCAGTTCCAGAGGATCTGACACCTTTACAAGATATACATGTGTGCATACTTAAAAATAAAACAAATCTTGAAAGAAAAGGGGAATTCCAATGTTTAAAACAACAAAGAAATCTCATGTCTAACCCATGTGTGATGGCATACCCCTATAATCCCAGCACTCTGGAGGCAGATACAAGATGTTCACTAGCTCCACACCAGCCTGGGCTACATGGTGAGAGCCTATCTCAAAACCTCGGAGGCGGAGCACATGTACGGGGCCTTGGATTTTTAAACAACTAAAGATGATCTTGTGTCTAGAGGGCATATGTACCACACACTGATACTAGATCACTGTCTCTGTCAACCACTTTGCGGTAAGGGATGCGGTAAGGGATGCGGTAAGGGTTGGTTACTTGGTTTCCCTTACATATGTGTGTATCTGTGCAGGTGCCTTTGGAAGCCCGAAGGGGGTGTCCAATCAGGAGTTGGGGATATAGATGGCTGCACGCTCTTAACTCTGAGACATCTCTCCATCTCTCACCCCCCACCACACCTCTTTTGATACTGGGGGTCACACATGCTCTATCACTGACATATACCTCCAGCTCCGTTTTTTGTTTTTTTTTTTTCTCTTATTTATTTTAAAACGGGCTCTCCTGTAGCTCAGGTTGGCCTCAAACCCAAGGATGACCTTAAATTCCTTATCTTCCTGCCACTGTCTCCCAAACGCTGGGATTATAAGCATGCACCACATGGTTGCGACCGTGGTCCCACTTTACCAGGAAAGACTTTGAGACTTCTGCCCTTCCTTAGTCTTGTTTTGTAAAGTGTGCGGTGAACTGGGGTATATGAAGTACTTGGGACGAGGCCACTGTGAGCCTGCCCTGCAGGGTTATTGTCTGAGGAGACTCTTCAGCCTGTCCCTTACAATGACGTGGCCTGCAGCTCCCGAGTCAGAACCTCACCTTTGGAGGAGAACAGGAGGTGCCTTTGCTCTTGAAATTGAGTCACCCCTAGGAGGGACATTGAGTCCAAGGCTCCAGGATGAGTCAGTCATCCCGTCCCAGGCTGAGAAGTCAGAGACGGGACCCGCCTCAAACATTACACACATCTGAGAACACGAGGTAGAGAGGCAGAGGAGGGAGGGCTCTTCTGAGGCCTAATTCCCGACAAAGAGGGTGGGGCTAGACCGAGAGCAGGCTGCTGTGGGGAACACATCTGTAGCTCCCCCTCTCTTCGGTAGTGGGAAAGATGTCCCAGCCACCAGCTGTTTCTATTCCAAACAAGTAGAGTGAGTCAATTTTCTACCATGCCAAAGCTCCTGACTCAGCGCCGGGACTCTTGACTGAGTTTGTTCTGGGAAATGTCAGGCCTTCAGGAAACAGAGGGCTCCCACTGACCGCCATCTCCTGGGTGGGCGGGAGTAGAGAGTAACGGGCAGGAGGAAACACGGGCACAAGGGGAGTTAGTTATGTTGAAGGCCCGAGCGGGGAAACAGTTCATAAGCAAGGAATTGAATTTAAATGTGCAAGGCAGGACGCTGGGTGCCAGAATGTGGGTGTTGGTGCAAACTGGAGAGGATCCATGTGCAAGGAAACTGTTTGCTTGGCAGAAAGTGTGTTCAGATTGCTGGAGGGGCGGCTAGGTGGCAGAGAAGCTAGCTTAGCTTAGCATGCACATGCACCAGGCCCTGGGTTTGTGCTGGGGGAGCGGGGGGGGGGGATACAAACACACAGGATAGCTTTTGAGCTTGCCAGGAGGAAATGTAGGATGCCATAGAAGGTGCGGACCCACAATTTCAGCAGGTAGGAGTGGAAGCAAGATCAGGAATTCAAGGGCATCCATCACTGGCTACAAGAGAGAGGAAGGAGGTTGAGAGAGAAAAAATAAGTGGGAGAGGAGGGGGCAGAGGAAGGAGGTTGAGAGAGAAAAAATAAGTGGGAGAGGAGGGGGCATGCTTTCTCGAAAGCACTTCTTCCCTCGATGCTTTCAAGAAAGACCGTGGGTATTTCTGGGGCTCACGTGCCTCGCGGCTGACCCAGAAGACTCATGAGCCAATGCTTCGAGGTCCCACCCCCTGCCACGCCTCCCCGCTCAGAGGGGTGTATTTGTGCACGTCAGCGAGTTGCTGAGCTACCATTGGCTAGATGGTCGGGGGCGGGCATGCAGATGTTCCCGGAAGCTCCAGAGGCCCGGCGTGCGCTAGACCGGGAGCCTGAGCCTGGTGGATCCGGTGCTTAGCAACGGGGGAGGTGCCCCGTAACGGGGTGTTTGGGGGGAATAGGAGAGAAATTGTGGATACTTAGCAGCCCAGGGTAAGGCGGTGCCTAGCAACAAGAGGGGTTCTGAGAGGTAGAGAGTAGTCCTGGAGGACATGTGGGAGTCTAGCAACGGGGGAGAATTCTATCAACCGCGAGGTGTATGGTGGGGGGGGGAGAGGGCTGGGGAGGCGCTCAGGGAAAACCTGAGTTCTTAGCAACGTGGGGGTAACCAGGAGAAACTTGGAAATCGATTAACGGGGAGGGGGTGTTTCAAAGAAGGGGGAGAAATAAGGAGGCCCAGTCCTGTAATCTTTATTACCCTTAGGCAATGTGGCTGGAGCTTGGGGCCGTGCTGCGCGGGACCCGTGGACCTCTGGGCAGGAGTGTTCATCTGCCCTGTGGGGCCCTGGGGCCTGGGCCCCACTGGTGGGTAAGAGGCTGGGGAGGGAGCCCCCGAGGGAGAGAGACTGAGGGAAGCTTGAGAGGGCAGAATAATAGAGAGGCACCAGAAAGGAGGGGCTAGCTCTCCACTAAAACCCCCTTCTCTGCAGGGGCCATATAGGGGTTGTCGGACCCAAAATGTTCATCAAGACCGGCCTGGAAGAGGCCTAAGTGAGGACGACATTCGCAGGGCACGAGAGGCCCGGCTCAGGAAGGCACCCCGGCCCCAGGTATCACTGCTCCCCCCTCCCGCCCCTGTGATACTCTGGGAGGCCCCTGGACCCCAATCTCGAGGCAGGCTGGCAGGCTCTTCTGCCCCTCTGCCCACCTTCCCTACCTCACACCTTCTCCCCTTTCTCAGCTTAGCGATCGCTCTCGTGAACGCAAGGTACCCGCCTCCCGCATCAGTCGCTTGGCCAGCTTTGGGGGTAGGTGCGGCTTGGGGGAATCTTCGGGTGACCTAGATCAGAGGTAACGTTTGCAGAATGAAAATGAATCAGAAACGACAGGGTGAGAAGGGAGGGTGATGGCGGCAAACCCAAGGAAAACAGGAATGCAGCCCTTAACGTTTATTGAGAACCTGTAATGAGTTAGGTCTCGTACTGGGCGTGCTTAAGACTCTTCTATTGATGGAGAAGTAGAAGCTAGGGTGGGTGGGGGCTGTGTGACTTGACTTTAGGAATAAAGGAATGTGCTGCAACTAATGTTTAAGAAAGGAGAGGAGGAGGTGGCCACGGTACCCATCTGTAGTTTCAGCAGTTGGGAATGTAGGAGAGAAAGGGAGACAGAGGAAGAGGGAAAGGAGGAGCAGGGCATGGCGGCACAGGCTTTTGTGATCCCTGCTCTCAAGAGGCTGAGGTGGGAAGACGGAGAAGCCAGGCCTGGTGGTGCATATCTGCGGTCTGGCTGCCTGATAGGTTAATGTCGGACTGTTTGAACACACAAATTAGGATGAACCTGGGCATCATGGACCTCGTCTCAATAAAGAAAGGAGTCGGCATCCATGAGGTACCGGGTTCTGTCCCCAGAACTGCAAGTAAAATAAAGATATATGATAATGAATAAGGAAGTAAGGCCAAGTATGGTGGCATATGCCTAAAATCCCAGTGCTGAGAGGCAAAAGTAGGAGAATTGGGAGTCCAAGGTAACATGATGTTTAAGGCTAGCCTGGGCTACGTGAGTGTCAGAAGAAAGGCTAAGTG